ATGAAAATGATGATCATGATTATGGATTTAGATGATAATGAAGATGAAAATGCTGATATTTAAACTTGTGGCATCATGTGATTGTTCAAACGTCTGATTTGATTCAGATTTTGTTACATTTAATGAAAATTCAAATGATTATCAATCTCAACGAGAGTACCTCAACTAGAAGCAATACTTGATGCAGAGAGAGTGACTTTGTTAGGTTGAAAATTATTGACTTTTGGCTTAACCGGACTCGGTTGAAATAAAAATAAGAAAATGAAAAAATGAAGAAATGAAAATGATCATGATTATGGATTTGATGATGATGAAGATATTAAATGCTGGTATTTAAACTTACGGCATCATGAGATTGTTTAACTGTCGGATTTGATTCAGATTTAGTTACATTTACTATTGACAATTGTTAAAGTCTGTTTAAAGTGAACTTTGGATTAATTCTTGTTCTGTTTTTTGTTTTCAATATTGACAACTTTTCGTTGGTCAAAGGCAATCAAACAGAATCAATGAAAGTGAAGAAATGATATTCAGTCAAGCCTGAAATGGAAAACAATGAACATTATATTGTTTCGCCGGGTTCGTCTCATGATGATGATGATGATGGTTGATGGAAGATGGAAAGTTGGAAATGGTTATTTTCTGTAGTTTTTTCGTCCTCTTTTCATCTTCATTCATCTTCCCGTCGTCTTCTGTTGATATTGTTGGATATTAGGTTGAGATTGGATAAATGAACAAATATTGTGTGTGTTTACTTGAAGAGGGTTAAAGTTGAAGGAGCAAATATTGTGTTATTATGTATAAGATTTTTTTTTCCTGTTTCACTGAAATCTTACCTGCATTTGGAAATATAATAATAATTGGTTCCTTTTGTTTAATGATCATCCATGATAAATACAAGGTAATAAGGGAAATAACCATGATAAGTATTATTATTGAATGGGAAAGTGAAACTGCCAGGAAAACGAAGTAAATCACAATCATTTACTTTTAATGAGTTTAAGAAGACAAAGTTAACTCTTTTTGTCTTCTTCTTCTTCCTCCTTTTTCCCTTCTCTCTCTCTCTGTGTGTTTGGGTTGTTAATGTGTTGTTTTGTTACTCCAACAGATTAGACTATCCATGGATTGTTTAATTGTCATCACACAATTAAAGTTAATCAAGAGTAATCGTTGTCATCAAAGTAAGAAATGAAACTTTGCTCTTTTTTTGTATTCTCTTGCCATTCACTTTCTAAGTCAAGAGCTTTTTTTCATAACTATTTTAATGTTATTGATTATTTTATTGAATCTTTTCTATGCAAACAAACGCTTCAAAAATAATGAAAAGCTTGAAAGGTTTTCATCCTTTAAATGGCCAAGTTTCCTTAAAGTATTATGTCAACCTCTTGCAGTAAATTTGGTGAAAATAAATCTCAAAAACTTGTTCAGTTTTAAATTATTCAGTTGGTAAAATTTGATAACTGGACTTTACAAGACTACTCAATAAGGATCAATCAAGTTTCAAAAACTAAATGAAGTTGAAAGTAAATGGTTAATGTTGATTCATTAAAGAAAATTCATCGACTGAAGAAGTCAAAGATAAACTTGAAATTCTCAGCCAACGATTTGAACTGGAAAAATATTCACGAAAAAGAAATCGAAGAAAAAGGTCAGAATCTAGAGAATCGTAAAATGTTATTCGACGGTTTTAATATCAGTTTTGAGTGAAATTTCGTTGCAACACCTTCGATTGCCAACGATTTCTTCCAACGAAATGTTGATAGATTGAACGAAATGGCGATTCTCTCCGATAATTTTCTCATCTTTTCTCTTCTTTTTGATATTATTTCCGGTCATTTTATTCTTTCTTCACTTGCCCATTCTAATCAGACTCATCATTATTGTAACAATTGATTATTAAAGAAAGTCATTGCTAACAATAAACATTATCATTATACGACTTGAATCTCTTTTTATTTTGATAAAGTTGTTTAATTTCCGGATCACATTGAGACTGACCAATAATAATAATAAATTCATTCATTCATTTAACCTCATTTAAAGTTAATCATATTTGTTCGAGGCTGGTAAAAGGTTAAAGACAAGTAAAAATGTAAACATCGTTTAATTGATTAACCTTAACGGATAATTTAATTAATCTTTGAAAAGAATAACAAATTTGACTATTTTGCTGTTCAACAAAAGAAACTAATTATAACAATAAATTAATTTACATTAATTGGTCAAGTAATGTACTAATTACATTTGACCACATTTTAAAGGTTAATCATTTGACTGGCAAAGGTTGCATTTGATCAAAGTAAAAGGTAATTGCAGTTGACTGTTTAACACGTTATAAATTGATTGGCTAATGATGATGATGATGATTAGGTTTGAGACTTTTTTTGATGGAAACAAAACGAAAGCCGTTACCTTTGATCCAATTGGGCCAATTGAAAGGTAAATAAATTATTGAAGTAAAAAGCAAAAGTAAAAATTAAGATTGATTGGGATTGATTGAAACAGAGTCAACATTGATTCCGTTTTCATGAGCTTTTTGGCAACATTTTTTTTCCAACCAATTTAGAAACTTGAAATGTTATTCAGGTGAAACTTGAGTTAATCAAAATTTATTGCATTCCATTTATTGATTGAGATGGGAAACGGTTAAGTTAAAGTAACCGATAAGTTTTATGATAATAAATGCATTTATAAACAGATTGGCAGAGCGAGTGAACCTTCAATGTTTGCTGGGAGTTTTTATTACCTCATGAATGAAAAGTACAAAAACGAGCATTTTTAATCCCAATCGGAGATGATAGCGAATGGAAAATAATTTTTCCAAATCTTGAAGTCTATACAATATATTATAGCATAAAACACCATTAATTTGAATCACAAAATCAAGTTTTTCTCTCATTCGTTGAGCGATACAAGTTTCCCTAAGTTACACTCCCTGTAGATCAAAGCTTTAAGAAATATTCGTTGAGCCACGAAAACGAACATAAATGTTTCAAATCACTGTCCACGAATAGTGTAACAATTAGAAAGCATAGAAGTAAGCCCGAGTAGCACTCGTTTCGGAACCGACTCATAATTTCAAAATTAGATTTTTCGAAAGAAATACAAAGAAGTGTTGAAGAAAAATTTTAACTTTGATTAAGAGTAATTGTCTCATATCTGTGTGTTCAATCTGAAAATTTACTAAAAATTTTCTAAACAGAAGAAAAAGAAAAATCAGTTGAAAAATCTCAGACCAATTTCCGTTGAAATCAAGACAAATCAAAGGTCACTTTGCAGAGTCGAATAGTAGTTGAATGGTGAAAAATTTAAAAAGATTGACTTTTGATTGAAACTATCATTGAATGGGGAAAAATTGTTAGAGAAGTAAAATGAATTAAAAACAATACGATTTGGGCGAAAGAAGAAATGAAGACTAAAAAGTGAATTAAGAAATGGATGAATTGAAAGATTTGCTGACAAGATTTTCGAGCTTATTTCATCTTGCAAGTTATCCAATGCTGTCTACCTCTGTCTACCTTCAATCAATCCCTCTTTCTCTCCTTCTTCTTGTTCATCTCCTTTCCTTATCTTCATCTTGTTTGGTAACATTGAAAGTTGTTGCAACTGTAAACTATCAATCAAACTGTATTCACCATTTTCACATCTGAAATCCATTCTTACTTTGATTCTGCTTGATTTACTTTTAATCCTCTCCCTGTCACAACTAATTTCATATTTAACTGAACCAGAAAAATTTATCTTCATCTTTAATACTCTTTTACTCCCTTCCTTCATCATCTTTATCATTTTCATTCAATCATTTCTCACTTTCTTATCCTTTCTCACCTTTTCAATGATATTTAGTCTATTAAGATTCTCTTCTGGATAAAAGTTTACATTTTTTTTCCTTCTTCCATCCCTTTGCTTCTCATACTTTTTTTTGCATCAAATCCAGTTTTGCACTTTACAAAACTACAAATCTTGTAATATCAAGTTTCTTGTTTCATTATTTTTTGTACTCAAAATGTAATGGATTAAAAGGGTATTTTATTAACACAATTCAATTGAATTTTTAACTCTTTTTTTGCTTCTCTTCTCGTCTCAGTCTTGTTAAAATCTCAATCAGCTTAACAATCATTTTAAATTCAATCTTATTCAGAAGAAGAAGAAGAGCCAAAAAAGTCTTTTAGTGATTAAATTAAACCTTCAATCTAATTGATTGATTGAGCCTGAATAGGCCTACGAGTTAACCCAAAATGTATCTTTAACTTGATTGACATAAAATCATTTCAGGTTAAATTAATGTTTCTTTTAATCTGTATAAAAATCGGATTCAATCAAATTGCTCTAATTGATTGTTGTACTTTCAAGTGAAATGGTTAATAATGAAAGCGTGTTGATAGGAAAGTTTAATAAGTCTAATCATGAATTTCAAAGTAAACCCAATTTGAATTGTAATGAGACAGGGAAAAGTGTTTTACGTTTTGTTCAAAATTTTACCTCAACATATGTTTTCATCTGGAAAAGGCTAAACAGACAAGCTTTTTTTGGCCAACATTTTTTGCTTTTTCAAATCAAATTAACTTAATTTAACCAACAATCAGTTTAACATTGGCAAAGTAGGGAAAGGCTACATTAGCTAATTAAGTTAATAGAAGTGTAAATTGTTTCTTAAACATGAAACGATCAAGATTCGCTTTCAACCCAAACAATCGGGGAAAAAATGTCTTCATCAATCATTACCTAACCTTGCAGTGTTTTTTGAAAAGCTTTTGCCTTCTTCTCATCCAAACCTTATCATCGTTGATTAATCGGGTTAAATTGCGAGTTAAATTGTTTAAATTAAACAGTTACAATCAAAATGTAATCAAACCCAAATCTGGTTTCCATTAAAAGGTAAAGGAAAATATTTAAAGAGGAAAAAATCATTGTTTTGTTGTAGCTCTGTTGCTGTCAGTCGAGTTAATGTTTTGGTTTTTTTTCTGGTGTTCTGGTTAATTGTCAATTGTTGCACTTACCAATTGTTGTTATCACGGTAATTGAATAGAGAAAGGCACCTGTAAATGACCATTGGTCAGCTTTTGGGTTAACTGCTTCTCTACCATCAAAGCCTTCCATGAATGCTTGATATAAAAGCTTTTGAAATTTAATGATTTCATTTGTTGTCATGGCGGTCCAATTTTCTTCCTTTAAAATATTTGTATTCTCAGTAATTCTCCACAATTTAGCTACCGTTAAATTGCGTAAAGCAATTACTTGGTTAATCCGCTGTTTTTCACTTAACGATTCAAGCTGGCTAAACAGGAAAGCACCCAATGTTGAGTAGCCCAAAATTAACAGGGATAAGCCTAGGTTTGAACACAATAGGGAACCCAATCGATGGCAACATCGACATGATTTACTTGATTCACTGTTTGGACACTGTTTGTGGGATTGATCACCGGTTGAACCTGATCCTAGGCCTTCATTTTTACCATTCAAAGTGGTCATTCCAATGTAGTTATCCATCTTTACGGGTCAATGTTAGATAATGTAAACTCACTGAATCCGTTTCTTTTTTATGCTTGCGTTGGATTAAAATATGGAAACACACAAAGATTCACTAATCACTTGTTGTTGTCTTATTGGTTGATAATCCGGTTGACTGTAATCCAGGTTGATGGGTTAATCAACTAGATGACAGTCTATTCAATTGGAATCAACTCAACCCAAAAAAAGGTGCAACGACAAGAAACAATAAAGGATAATCACAATGGTAGGAAATAGATTTACAGATTATCTGTTGAAACACTAATCATTATTTTCCTTCTTCTTTTTTTTGGGTGTGATAATAATTCTGATGATGGTGACAATTATATCAACATTGATACTTTTTTTCGCCTTTTAATCAACATTGCTGCTGTTATTTCACTTTCAAACACACAATTTTTAATTCTCAACTTTGGGTTATAATCACAATGGTAAAGAGAAATGTTTTAATATCTTTTCTTTGCGTAAGAAACACACTTGACTAATAGAGAGGAAAAAATTTGATTCAACAATTTAACATGGTATTAATTTACTTGGTTCATTTGTTAATGTTTCCGTTGGATGTTAATCACAAGTTGAAGTGAAAATTAATAGCAACTAATCAACTTGTCAACGGTTTGGAAGGGTTAGAGGTAACATTTACAGGTGCAAGTTGGGTGTTAAATGGGAAACATGTTTTGACATTGATTAACATTGATTAACTCTGTTAATATTGGAATCACAAGTTTAACCATTTCACACAACATGAGAGATTATCACAAGAAATTGTAACTGAAAAAAAGAAGACAATTCAATCAGATGATACAGGAATGATTAGACAATAATGTTGCTAATCGACTCTTTTTTTTTGGTTCATGCAAATCAAGTTCTTTGATCAGGTTGATGTTGTTGTTGTTCTTGATGTTGATGATGATAATGATGTTATTGTTGCTTTGGTCTGCATGGTTGATAAAATGTGATCAGCTTTTCCCATTATCCCAAAGACTTGGAGTGAGTCTCGATTTTGGCTGGTAAAATGATGGTAAATGGATGAGAATGCGTAGAGTTGCGGTGGTGGTTCCTTTGCTTCCTTTTTTTGCCATCTTCTGTTTATCTTTTTAAACTGAATTGTGAAAAATTCTGATATATGAAATGATTACAGAGATTATTTGCTCAGTCAAGTCACACAATTTATCATTTCATTTGGTTATATTATTTGTTCAACACAGCAATAATAATAATAACCAGAGAAATGATGAAGGAACAAGAAGGTAGGAAAAAAGAGTCAATATTAAATAAGTAAATATAAAAAGGTGGAAATAAAAAGTTATAAAGTTGAGAATTAGATTTGTTGGTGTTCGGTGAATCTCAAATAGTCTACAATGGCGATACAATGTAATGCTTTTGTCCAAATGCTTGTTTGAAACATTTGTAGGAACCATTTATATCACCAAAAAGTCTAATTATCACTTGTCTTTGGGTCATCACAAGGTTAGTCCAGGTTGTGTTGGCTTCAATTGTGATTGAGAGATTATTGCGTCTTTATCAATCCACTTTCAATTTGTTGCTTGACTGGAATTAGCCATAACTCCTGGATCTTCCTAATTGCTCATTTAATCTTGGTTCAATTCCATGTTTATTGTTATGGTTTATATGAATGAAAATGAAATCCAGTTTGAACGTTTGAAGCGCTTTGGTTAATTTCCTTGGTTTTCCTATTATCCTTTTCCTATGTCAAGGTGGCTTGTTTTACGCTCCCAGTGAACCTGTAGAGACAAATTGTATTGAACATTGTATTAATTTTAACTTTCATTTCATTTTATTTTCAAGTTATTTTATAGTTTTATTGTTGCTGATGAAACTCAGGGAAATTAAAAGAGTATATACCATTCTGATTGAATTAACACTCATTTTCTTGGATAATTATTACTTTCAGTTGAATGCAAGTCAACCTAGGTAAAGTTGTTATTGGCTTAAAAATCTAATTCAGTTATCAATTATCACACAGTTTTAGTGCCTTTTCGTGTTAATGGGAAACAGAAGTGTAATTCACCAGAGTAAAGTAGCTATTAACTCTTATAATCTCAATGTGTTGAGTAAATTTAACTTACATTGTTGTTGTAAATACTTGGTGTTCAATTTAATCAGTCAAAATATTTGCACATGTTAAACCGTCGTTTGATCACCAATTCACTGATGAGAATTGAAAGGCCAGCTATTTTCAAACCAGAATTGCTTCATCACTAATTGGCAATGTTGCCAAACAATTTGAATAAAATAATTAAATTAAGAAACGATAAAAGCAAATTATAATCAAACACGAATTTGTTTACAATCCAATTGATGATCTGCCATCTATTGGTTTGGAGTAAAGTCAGAAACGCAATTAATGAACATTACTTTTTCATTAAATTATTTCTAGATATCTCAATAAAGTGGATAAATTGGACAAAATGATTTGGTCTTTAACTTAATTATGAATGTCAATTATTCTGATTTTTAATAAACATATTTGTATTATTTAATTGTAAATTTATTTCGGTTAATTAAGTAATTCCTCAAAAAGCTACTGAGAGATGGCGCTTTCCTAAGTTACGTTAACAGATGATCGGATTCACCAGAATTCAGCTTTTAGTAAACAAATTGTTTCAGTAAATTGTGATAACGGAAAGTTTTTGTTAATTATTTTACCTGTGTCGATCAAATTTTGTATAAAAACCAATGGGATCTTTGAGTGATACTAGTTTACTTTCAAATGGTTCTGATAAAGTAAGTAACCAGGTTGAAGAAATGATTAAAGAAGACATCATTAATCATTTTAAAAAGGAGATGAGTAAATTGATTGAACGTATTAGTGATGCTGATAGCCGGTCGATTTCTTATCTATCTGAATGTCGCTCACTCCGAGGACAATTAGAGATGGTTACTCAGGACTATGAAACGGCTAAGAAAAAGATCCAAGAGATGGACACTATTATTTACAATTATAATTCTCAATTAAGTGTAATGACTGAACATTTGGCAGCCCTTAATGAAAAGATTGTCCAACAGAAAGACATTATTGATGAACTTACTCATCAACCTCACAAATAAACTCTTTTTTAGTTTCAATATTTTGCTCTCGCCTTTATTGAATTAATTATCTTCAATCAACCCTTTATCATCTTGTCATCGTATCTTTTTTGCCCATTCGATATCATCTTGATCAGAATATTCGGTAAAATGCATCTTGTAATTGGATTTGGTTTCAGAGAATCTTCACATCTGTTCGGAAGCTGTTTACACGGACTAGGAAGTCAAATTATTCGTGATATTCATTTTTCTTCAAAATCTTTTTATTCAAAAAACAACGATTTCGATGAAGCTCAATTTGATCTAGAAAATGACCTCATTTATGGATCTCAATCCAACGCTGTTGATCAAAGTCGCAGTAAAATTGATAGTGATAAGCAAGCTGGTTGCAAGATATCACCCAAAGAGCTGATCAACATTTATACAGAGGTGTTACCAGTTAACTGGAACCCTGAAGAACTCATAAATTTTCCTATGTCAAACCCATGGAGATCTAAATCTAATCTAAAAACCGAAGAGAAAACAATAGAATATGAGTTGAATTGTAAAAGAAAATTAATTTTGGATAACAACAATCTAAAAGTGAACGAGTTTCCATCAGTTACTAAAATAATTGGTGAAACCAAGTCAGCCGCATCTAGACAAGCATTGGAACAATGGAAAAGGCGGATGATTGAACAACTTGGTGAGGAAAAGTTCAAGGAATATCAACAGAAAATATTTCGACGAGGTCACTTACTTCATGCCAACATTGCCAAAAGATTAGAAGAAAAGTCTGAGGAAATTGAAATTAGCGAAGAAATATCCGGCTACTGGAAAAGTTTGTCCAACGTTTTCACCAACATATCCAAGGTTCAATTGTTAGAGAAACCCGTTATTCATCCTTTTCTATGTTACAAAGGTATCATTGATTGTGTCGCTTATTACAATAAAACTTGTTACCTCATTGATTGGAAGACATCAAGTCGACCCAAACCAACAATCTATAATCTATACGATGAACCAATTCAAGTTGTGTCTTATTTAGGTGCTTTGAACTTTGATAGTAAATATGATTATCAAGTTAGTAAAGCAGCAATTGTAGTTGCCTATGAAGATGGTTCACCTGCTCATGTACATCGTATTTCAGAATCACTTTGTAAAAATTATTGGATCTCATGGGTAAAAAGGCTTCATAATTATTGGTTAACAAATGTTAAAAGCTGAAAATTGGAATCAGCTCTTTTAAATTCCTTCTGTATTTATTATCCCAAAACATAAATAAATATTGATAATCAACTTTGAATCTAAATGTGAGATGAAAATTGAAAGAGTAGAAAATTGTTCAAATTTTATGCATTTACTTTGTAACTATAGTGAGAAACAGATGGCGCTAAGTTAGTTTTACCGTTTAAAGGCGCGAAAACTTTGTTGACTTTGTGTTAGATTGAGTTTGTTTTCAAATGCAATCTTTATTTATTTTATTTTACATTAAAAAGTTCAGTATTGGTTTAATTTTTTAAGTTTTTGTTTCATCTATTCCTGTTAGTTTATCCTGCCTTGATTGTGTGAAATGGGTAAAGAAGATGATCCAGAAGTTAAAGTTAGAATCCTGCTCCGAGATAAAGAAAAAGCATTGGCCAAGAAGGATTTCAAGGAAGCAGCCAAGTGTTGTAATTACATCGGTATTATTTATTCTGAGCAAGGAAAATATGAAGAATCTTTAGAAGCTCATAACGAAGAATTGAAATTGTGTCAAAAAGTTAATGATCGTCTTGGTACAGCTGTGGCTAATCGTATGGTGGGAGAATCTCTTGCCTTGCTTGGTTCATTCCGTAAATCTGCGTTACATTTAAAGGAATTTAGAAGGATTGCCATGGAGCTGGACAACAAGGAAGAGATGCAACGGGCTGATGCCACCTTGGGCAGGACATATTGGTTGTATTACAATTCTAACCCTTTAAAGAATAAGCAATCTTTGGAAAAAGCAGAATTATATTTTAGGAGTGCTCTTACAAGAGCATCAAAGTAAGTATTCCCACTTAAACTTCTAGCTAAAATCGTTTTATACTTATTATTACTATCGTTAATAATTGTACTCTTTAGATTAAAAGGGAACATCTCTGAGAGAGATTACGCACAAATGAGGACTCGTGGATTGATAAATTTGGCTTTAGTATTTGAACAAAAAGGTGATAAATTGGCTGTCAAATTTTTGGAAGAAGGTACCTTATTGTCCAAGAAATTTGGTTTTCCTGACGATCTTCTAAGATGTCTGATGGCTTTATCAGCAATTCATATGAGAGCTGGTTTAATGCAAAAGGCCAGAGAATTTAATGACGATGCCATGAAAGTGGCTAAACAGTTGCATGATTTCACTGATTTATGTGAATTGTTATTAATGAAGGCGAACATCCTCATCAATCTTGTTGACTATGATGGGGCACGCCATATTTTCAAGAAAGTCTACCAACTTTACACCAAGTCTAGTGATCCTGATCATAAAATTAAAGCTATCAAAGGATGTAAAGCAACAAAAAAAATCATTGAAACTCTCAAAGAGGTGAACTTGTCATCAGATCCAGAAATCCATGCTAAATTGTATGATAAAATTGGTGATTACTGTGTCGAAATGGGTTGCTATTCCATGGCGATCGATTATTACAATAGAGTATTAGATGCTGCCTTAAAGCTAGGTAAAAGTGCTGAAGAATTGGCCACTATTTATTTTTCTCTTGGTCAAACTTATCTGGACAATCAACAATTTTCTGAAGCTCTAACAGCCTACCAAAAAGAGCTCACATTTCGAGAAGGAAACACAGAGGAGGAAATCCATAGTTTATTGAAAATTATTGAGATCAAAATTAATTTACAACTAAGTTTTGATGAGATTCAACGTGAATTCGAATTTGCTTTAACCAAATGTGATACAGATAAGCTCAAAAGGCAGGTTCTCAAAGAATACAAAAATTACCTTGATGAAGCTAATGTGGTCACCTCCGCCAATAAAGAAATCGAAAGACAATTAAGTGCACTTGGTCCAGAAGATGTGACTGAAATGGAATGTGAATCTCAAGAAGGAGGAGATAAAACTTCGGATGAAGAAATTTCAGATGACGACATTTCAGATTTAACAGACGATTCTGGAAATGAAAATCTCGAAGAAACAGAGATGAAAGGTAGAGCATTAAGATCCCGCCGCAGTGTAAAAAAGATTCAAAGCTCAGCAAAAAGAAATGAAAAGGGCGAAAGTGCGCTACATCGTGCGTGTATCGATGGAAATCTTTCTCATGTGATGAAACTAGTTGAAGGTGGTCATGAAGTCAATATTCGAGATCACGCTGGTTGGTTGCCCATTCATGAAGCATCAAACCATGGTTATGCAGACATAGTCGAGTATCTTATACAGAAAAAATCTCTCATTAACGACCGTGGTGGAGCTGAATGTGGAGACACTACTCCATTGCATGATGCTTGTGCCAATGGGCATATTGATGTTATTCGAGTTTTAATCCGAAACGGAGCCAATGTTATCGGTCGAGATATTAATGGGAATACGCCCTTTGATTTGTTGAAAGACAGAATTGGTGACGGTGAAACTCTGACGTCTACGCAAAAGAAAGATGTTGCTTTATTGTTTAAAGAAATTAAAGAGTTGATGAAAAAATCAGGATACGATTTTAATGCGAAAACCATTCAAAAAGTGAAAAGAAAACATGTTCCTTCTGATGTTATTGGTAAACCCATTAATAATTTACGAGCTCGCGATAATCGTTCACCATCAACAAGTCCACCTCGAAAATCGTTAAAGTTAAATAAAAATCGTGAAGCAGTTGATGCCAAGAATGCTTACAAAGAAGTCATTTCTAACCTACGAAGGCCTCATGATTTAGTCAATGGTCCACCTCCAGCAAAAAGTAAGTCAAAGTTCAAAGGACTCATTGAAGAATCGGAGTGTGTTGTTGATGAATGGATGATAAATGACATGAATCCATCCGCTTTAAAAGACAAGCCTGTCCGTGATGCGTATGAAATGACGGGTCGCTTGATCGAAAAAAATCAACAATCGTTCGATTCCTCTAAAAGAGAAAGACAATCGAAGCCTAAACAAAAAGGTCCGATTGCTTCAACTAGAAGACGCGCTGTTAATAGTGACGAGGAAGATGATTATGTCGTTATTGAACACGATGATGTCAAAAGTCAAAGTGACAATGATTCACAAGATGAAGATGAAGAAGAAGAAGAAGAAAACTTTGATTGGGAAAGACAGCTGAATGGAGATGATAATGAGGATGACACAGAAATTGAAGTTGTTTCATGTAAAAATAAATCAAAGTCAAATAGACAGGAGACAAGTTATTTCACATCGACCCAAGAAAGTATGGACGCATGTTCGACAACCTCACCTCCGCCTGATTCACTGCCACTTTCACCGCCATCATCCAACCAACCTATGTCTTACAACTTTACTCCTTCAACGGTACCTCAAATCCCATCTTACTCAACTGTCTCGCCACCTTCAAATGGATCTAATCAACAAGTGCCAACTAAACCTACACCAGTTAATCAACCAAATCAATCCACTGAGAAGTTTTTAATTACTGTTCATTTGGAGAGCAAAAAATTTCTTCTCACTGTTCCTAATAGATCAACCCAAGTTTCATGGTTGGCAGAGAAAACAGCTGAACGGTATTACCAAATGCGTCAATTAAGGCCTAAACTTTCACTGACCACAGAGGAAGGAGCCATTCTTGATTTAGACGATTTAGTAGTCGATGTTTGCCTAAATAATCAAGTTTACGCAAATATAGACTCATGGGATTTGGAGCCTTTACCTGAGCGTTACGAGTCCAACTGTAAATTAAAGAAATCTTTTGTTAATCATGATCTTAAATTTAGATTGAAGCTAAGTGAAACCAGCGGTAAACTACAACTTACAAATATGCTTCTGGAGCGAGCAACCATTGTAAATTTGCTATTGTCCCTTCGATGTCAAAAGAGCTTACGAATATTAGATTTTTCATTCACTGATATAATTTTGCTTGACAAAGATGATATTTTGTCACAAATATTGTCAACTATTTCGGATCTTGAGGAGATTAATTTCAAAGGAACTGGATTGGTTTCATATCGATTACACTCTCTATGTAGATATCCTTTGACTAATCTAATTAATGTAGATTTTAGTTATAATCTTCTGGATGATAAATGTTCAACCAATTTACTGGAATTCATAAATCAATGTCCAAATCTTAAACGAATTGATCTCCGTTATAACGATTTTTCTCTTGGATTCATTGAAAGTTCCAACCTGTTAGAAATTAGTCGTAATAAGAATATTACTTTATTAATGAAATGATTACCATCTCTACCATAATTTTTTTAATGTTTTTTATTTTATTGTGTTATCAAATAATCATTACAACCCGATTTATTCATTTGTATCATTTTTAAATCCAAAATTATACTTCATAAAAATTAAAACAAACCAACCAAGACCTTAAACTGATTTTCTTAACTAATTATTCAAGATTTGCTTTGATTATCTCTTGCTTATTAAGATTTGGTTCAAAACTGTTTAATTTTACAGTTTATTCACTTTGAAAATCCAAGGGTAGAGCATGAAATTGTAAATTGTAAAAATGAATTATTTAATGAATCAGTTGCTACTGAATCAGTTCATCTCTTGACCTTTTGATTGTTATTCATCCACTCACAATGCTTTGATTGATTCTGAAAAAACTTCAAACAGAGCAATAACAAAGTTAATAGTCATTTATTTTTTTAACCTTACGAGATTCAAAATTAAAATCCCTAAGTAACAGTTGATTTGGATTTGTAAGAAATGAGAAACTCCAGGAAGTCACAATTGATTACTTTCAACTGCTAATTCGACGACGTTTTACCTTGTGATCTGAATAGTGACAAATAAACTGTTAAATTGTTATCCATTGTGAGCAATCTTTACAAGTAAATGAGTTTACTTACAGGAAATTATAACCCGCACCATCATATCTACTGAACAGCGATTCATTTCTAGATGGTCAATATGGATAGTGAATTTGATTCAATTTTAATCAGCTATTATTTAATGTTAATGATTAACTGGTGTAGGCCAACTCTGAGGCTTAGAAACGTCTATTTGCTGTTCTAGTGTATGTATTGTATTAGTAAATAATTTAGTTTGGTTTTTCCTAAATAAATAAATTTATTTGGTGAAATTCATTGCAAACCAGACCATGATTTACGATTATTTATTGTTCATAAATTATCAATTTTACTGTCATATTTAATTTACTTTGAAACCAATTTTTAGTTTAGTTTTTCAAGACAAATCATCTCCAATTTAATGTTAAAATTCAATGTCAAAATATTATTAACATGTCAATTTAAGTTTCATAATAATTCAGAATAATAATTTCTAACCTTCTAAGCTTGCTAAAAGTAAATCTTGGTCATTGATTTTTAATTGAGCTGTGGAGTTAAATTAAATTGATCGTTGACCATTCATTAAACAAACTGTAAATATACTCATCCAGTAATTGGATCAGATTATTAAGTCAATATCAAAGTTGTTTATCAAAGTACCACCATAACCTGATTTATCGATTTCGCGAAAATGTCGCCTAAAAATCACTTTGAAAAAGGTTGATTCTATTGAATTTCTTAAGGCTTATTAGTGGACAGCTTTTCATAATTATGATTAAATCTTAGATATCAATAACATAGTATAAAATGATCAATTGATGACTTCATTATTAGCTTCGATGGTCATTTTTTTCTCCAATCATAGCAATTGCCTGGCTATTTCCTTGAACATACTCAAATCGGTGATCGTTAAATTGTAGTACATCGTTTATTTATAATTTATTCAAGGCTAATCTACATGTTCACTGAGAAATCTAAATCATTTGTCTGGTTGGATTAAACTATCGGAATAAAAGATTGAAAGTATCAGTTGATAGCGCAATGTCATTTACAGCTTCACACCAAACTGTTGATTTAGACTTTACAATGTCAAGATTGTCTAATAGTGTTAATCTCAATAAATCTTTATCGCTAATTAATTGTCAGTCAATTGCGTCGCTAACCCATCAACTTTTGTACATTGAGTGATACAAATGCTCTTGTACTTGTTATAATTGTAAATTCAGAATATAAAAAAGCATACAATGTGTCTACAGTCTAATTCAGTCAAGGTATTCAATTAGGCAGACTTAATTAAAACAAACTCAAGGATGGAGCATAAAATTTATAAATTATAAAAATAAAACTAAACGGTTAACCAGCAGTAAACTGATTGACGTAAAACAATTGGCTATAAGATAATAGAGATGGAAACTGTAATACAGTAGTTTTAAACATAGGCAGTAAATTGAACGATTAAATAATCAGAAGATGGTAAATTCAGTGCACAATAAAAACATATAGAAATGTGAAAATAAACATGATGATGAAGATTATCTTGAAGATGGAAATTTGATTAAATGTTTAACATGGAAAGTTAACCAGAAATGGTCTCTACATTAGTCTCTATGGGTAAGTCACAATGTCTTCTTGGTTAACATTAAATCACAATGGTTTTTATTGATTCCGTAATAAACCAAACTTAATGCATATCAATGATGATCATTCATCCTTTCATCTTCCGGAAATTATCAAATCAAGGCTGTAAAGTAATTGTTGAGAGACACAATCACGTCATTTTAAAATCAACTTACAAATTGTAACTTTTTAAGGCTCAACCTAAAAGAGGAGGATCCTTTTTGAATCAGCGGCGCGCGACATTTAAATGTAGAAAATTTGACTTTATTTACTTTTTACTCATCTCAATTAAATTGAGTTCATCCAGTGAATCTGGGTTAATCATATTGATCTTGGTGGAGCATTAAACAATTAGAATTACATTTAATTCGCTGCAATGAGTTTTACCTTTTTTTAAACCCATCAAACTGGACACAGTCAAGAATCGTCTTTACATTTCTTAAGTGTGTTTGTTTTGCTTTTTTGTAATAATTTACATTCTAATTACATTTTATTGTAATTACAGTTTGTATACGCATTGAAATTCTGATTGAAAGACTGTAATTAGATTTAAAGATGTGAGAATCTGAATAACTTGCCTGGTAGTCATGGAAAGATGAAAAAAATTGAGGAAAATTTGAAGCTTTTGCTTCCATTGATTATTTTTTGATGATTATATCAAATTGAACAATTTCTCTTAGTTATTTCAACACTTAATCGTTGACAAATTATGTCCAGATTTGCAATTGAATTTCAATCCAATCAATGGTAATAATATATAAATGTCTTGATTGTCCTTCAATACAACTTGCTTCTTGATTGAAATTAAACCGATCTCGGTCATTTTCTTGGCGATTGTCGTCATTTACTTTTTTTCAAATTATCAACTTGTCAACCATGTTTATTGTCATCCTTTGTTCATTATCATCTTTGCCTGATTTAACTTAAATGTACGAAGGTTAAATATCAAGTCTTTCATTTGTCATCATTAACCTTATCCATTGACAGGCATTCCTTCATACACTTTATCATTGTAAATTGTTGTAAAATAATTTGTCATTTCATCAATTAAAATCAAATAAATTAAACCAGTGAACACAAATGAAAAGCTAACCGTAAAAAAAACAGGAGAGAAAATCATTTGTGAAAATTGGTAAACAATTGAAAACCCATAAGATACCCAAACAGATGTTGGGTTAAGGAAAGGAGAGAGGAAAACAAAGGAACCAAGAATTGCTAATGAAGTTGAATGTTTCAAATTGTAACTTGAAGTGGTCGTAATAATGACAACAATCAGAGTCAGTGTTGGACAATCGAAACAATAACAAAGACAGACACAGTAATTAGGAAACCATAAGGTAAGATCTTTTATTTTTGGGTTTATAAAATACACAATCCACTTTAGTTTTCTTGTTTACCGAATTATGATCATTCACTTAAATTGTGATTCCATTACTGATCTTGGTTACTCACCAAACTGTTAAATTGTTGTTAACTCATCCTTCTTCCACCTAACTCAACACCACCACCACCACTGCCACCACAACCTCCTCCTTCTCCTCCCTCTATACCATCTCCAACATTACCTCCAAAGACTACACTGTTTTCTGCTCTTCATGATTTTCTATTTTTCTGGTGACGTGGTTTTACCCATTTAAGTTTAACGTTCAACTTGACAACAAACAATTCAACACATTCAACATTATTGTTAATAAACACTCCAGGGCAGCGTTAACCATCACAATCAACCAAAATTAATTGTAAACAGTGAAATATTATACCAGTAACCTTTCAATATAATACACCATTGCTACCTTACATGATTTTTCTTGTGCCTTGCAATACTTTCTTCTGACTCTCTTTTGATCCATCCTTACAACCAACTGGTTATTTTTGTTTTACAAGTAAGCCTTCTAATAATTACATCATTGATAATAATTATCACTGTCAATAGTATCAACAACATTAACATCTCAGGTTATTCATGAATCATGATTCATGAAATATGCTAAACAACTACATGATAAGATTACAACTTGAATAGTGTAACCAAGTCTTTCTTACTCTTTGCTGTTGCTTCTTCTTCTACTGTTGTTGTTTAATCCAATGCTTCTAACCCAGCCCCTAGAACCGGATTGTGATTTTTTAATTTTCTCCTCTCTGTTTGTTTGTTTATTTCACTAACCATTCCACATTTACACAGCAATCATTACCATTGCCAACAACCTTTTCGTCATATTTTATCCCTAACCGTCCTTCATCATATTCACCGGTTAACTTTACCTCCATTAACCTGTCAATTCGTTCAATAATCACATACAACTTGCCTCTAGTTTTTGTTGTTTCACATTCTCCTTCTCTTTTGTTTTTTCTCTCTCTCTTACTCTCTTTTCATTTCTTTCCTGTTATTTCTATCTCTCCGTAGTTTCAGAAGCAATCAAAAATTTCATTTTCTTCAAGCTCCTCTTCAATAAACCCTTTGGTTCCATCCTCTGTGTATGTGAATGTTTCTATCACTTTAAACAATCTCAACCAACACATTGGCAAGTTATCTCGCCTTTAGTTATCCCTGTTTTTCAACAACACTATTGAACCAGACAAAGCTTATTTTATGAAATGTGTATATTTATCTAAATTATTTTGTATTTGATCAACAAATTATTGTATCCAAAAGGTAAGTCAGTTGGTTTAAACATATTGTACTATTTTCATGTGTTTAAAAATCTTGTTAGTTGCTTTTTTGTTTATCAACCTGTTTTTTACCTTACCCATTATACCTCTTATCGTGTGTGTTAGATAATCTGGTTCCTTACCAATATCATTTTTTGATTCTGTTAACATGATTTAGTTAACACATTCACCATCATACATTTTAATTGTGTTTTTAATATATTTATTATCATTTGCTGTGGGTGGGTGTTCTGCAACAATGGTAACCTTGGATATGACAGTTAACTTTCCCCCTTTTTTCCAATGTATCTAATTGTTAGATATACAAAGATGTTAACTAATTTTACCTTTCATTTTCATTGTGAACCCTTACAGATTTAAATTAATTTACAAGTCAACTCAATTGGACTATTTCTTACATTAATTGTTACACTTGTTTAACTACTGACCCGGTAAATACTATTTAAGATGTACAGTTTCTTACGACGTAACGAGCAACGGAGGAAGGAAGCAGATACCTTCATTTCTGTCAATGAAGGCTTAAAGAGATTGTATAAATCTAAAATTCTCCCATTAGAGGAACATTACCTGTTTAAAGATTTTCACTCCCCTCCATTAGAAGATGCCGATTTTGATGCTAAACCAATGGTACTTTTGGTTGGACAATATTCAACCGGTAAAACAACGTTTATCAAGTATCTTTTGGAGCAATCTTTTCCTGGTATCCGGATTGGACCTGAGCCAACGACAGACAAATTTATTATCGTTATGCACGGTGAACAAGAGACAGTTACTCCCGGTAATGCTCTAGTCGTTGATCCCAAAAAGCATTTCCGTCCATTATCAAAATTTGGTGGGGCCTTTCTCAATCGATTACAATGTTCAACAGTTAATTCACCAGTTTTAGATAGTATCACCATAATTGATACTCCTGGTATCCTCTCTGGAGAGAAACAACGTGTCGATAGAGGTTATGATTTCACTGGTGTCCTTGAATGGTTTGCTGAACGTGTCGATCGAATCATTCTTCTCTTTGATGCTCATAAATTGGATATTTCAGATGAATTTAGACGTAGTATTGAAGCTCTTCGAGGGCACGATGATAAAATTCGTATTGTTCTCAATAAAGCTGATATGGTTGATCAACAACAGCTAATGAGAATTTACGGTGCACTCATGTGGTCCTTGGGTAAAGTTTTTAATACGCCTGAAGTATCGAGAGTTTACATTGGTTCTTTTTGGGATGAACGCTTACGATATGATGGAAATCGTAAATTGTTTGAAGCTGAAGAGCAAGATTTATTCTCCGATTTACAAAGTCTCCCTCGCAATGCTGCTCTTCGTAAGCTTAATGATCTCATAAAGCGAGCTCGATTAGCCAAGGTAAATTTTTGCGATTTTACGGAAGGCTTAAGATTTTTAATTTCCATGCCTCGGTTAACTCTTAATTGTATTCTCTATTTGCTTTCTTCTCGACTCACCTTTTTCGCTCATTTATTTATTGTGCCTTTATTAATTCCTTTTATTGCATTCTTTTCTATTTTCTTATCCCTTTTATTATTCCACATACCAATTGATCATTCTTTTTTTTTCTATTTCCGTTTTTTTTCATCCAGGTTCACGCCTATATAATCAGTGCCTTGAAACGAGAAATGCCTACATTATTGGGAAAAACTAATAAGAAGAAAGAGTTAATCAAGCATTTGTCTAATATTTATACCTCTATCTCTAAAGAACACTCAATTGCTGAAGGAGATTTTCCACTTCTTAGTGAAATGCAGGAGAAACTTCTTGACCATGACTTCACCAAATTTAATGCATTGAATAAAAGGCTTATTGATGCGGTTGACAAAATGTTAAATGAAGATATTGCTCGTCTTATGGCTCAGATACCACAGGTACGGATTGCTCCTTTGTCTGATTTTAGGTTAAATAACTCATTCCCAGTAATAAACTTGTGATTCAAGTCCCTCTCAAACTAATTAGCTTTTTGTTGTAAATGGTTGTTATTGCAATTAATAGTTAATGCTAAAGAGTAGGTGTGAAAAGAGTGTGAGAATGAGAAGGGTTAGGGAATGAAAAAAAACAGGAACTAAAATCCTAGTGTGTAAAGTGATGCTCAGTTGAGCCTTTTCATTGTCAGATTGACGTCTTTCAACTTGATCATGATATCCAATGGTTTGATTGTTTTTCCAGCAAAATTGGCTGCGTAAAAGGGTTACCTAATATGTAGTTTATCCTGAATAGCTGGTCAACCTTTACTTGACTCAATGTTTCTCCAACTGATTCAAATTTTTATCTCTTTTCTTTTATAAAAAAAACAGGAACAATTAAATAAAGAGGAATCATCTGTTAAAGGAGGTGCCTTTGAAAATACACAAGAATCACCGTTTGGATTTGGTCGTGGTGAGGGTATCGATGAAGGTGCCTTTGATCCAAATTGGGTGGTCGCTAAAGAGAAACCCAAATATGATGAAATATTTCAAAATCTTCATCCTCAAGATGGCAAAGTGTCAGGAGCTGTTGCTAAACAAGAACTCATTAAATCAAAGCTTCCCAACTCTGTTTTATCTAAAGTTTGGCGTTTAGCTGATGTTGACCATGATGGATCCCTAGATTCTGATGAATTTGCATTAGCAATGCATCTAATTAACGTTAAACTTGGTGGTCATGAATTACCTGCCGAATTACCAGCACACTTAATACCACCTTCTAAAAGAAATGGTATTGAAATTTCTTAAATTATACCTTAATGTTTTCCGCAAACTGTCCCTTTGTCGCGATTCATGTTTCTGTTAGCAATCTAACCACAGGTCTAGCGCATTTATCCTGATTTCTTCTCTCACCTTTTGTGCAGTTTAATCTCTAATGCTAATCATCCCTTGGTGTGTGACTATTTTTTTAATCAAAAAATACATTGTTCCTTGAACAGATCAAACATCTAGTACAAATGGATGGTCTCAGTCGGATGGTGATGTCCCACCTGAGTACTAGTTGAAAATTGTTGAAACAACATACAAATGATACCACAGAGAAACAATGATTATCAATTTTAATTGAGAAAAAGCTAAATGGTGGATACCTAAAAGTTGAATCTATCCATATACACCAAATTTGATTCACAAAAGAATGTCAAATCAATAATTATCCCTAATTATTTTGATTTATTTATGTCTTTTGCACAAATTTTAATCATTAATTTTATCATAATAACATCCAGGGCGTACTTATCTTTATTTATCTTCAACCAACAGTATCATTTGTTCATTTAAACACTAGTACATATGCATACTAAGAAACAAAATGGTAATAAATGACAATTTCTAATTGTTACTCCTGAATCTATCGAAACAATTACATCAACATTTAAGCTGCGGAATTTGTTCTGAAATTATTGTTGATTCCATGAAACTGAAAGCCACTCATTAACCATCATCATTCAAAAATCTACCATTAACCTAATTAAAATAACAGAAAGATTAAACTGCGTTAATTATTATTAATGAAAATCATGTTGAATTTCTTTTTGCAAAAATAAATATTTAAATCTACTTTTAACCATCATGTCATCTTTTTTTCCCTCTCACAAGGGCTTCGATTTTGCTAGAGCAAAAATTTCGGATAACAATCAATAATCCTCCTCGTTGAATTTACTCTGATTATTAAACAGAAAACGTAAATAGTCGATCACGATAGACATCAGCTCAACCTTATCGTTATTTGTTTAGTATATATTACATATTCAACAATAAATATCTAAACGATCATCAAGCTGAATATAAGATAAATCAAAAAGTCAAGTCAACTATATTAAACTGAATCCAAAAAGGTTACCGGTCACAGAAAATTTAGAGCAAATGACAAATATTTTTGCTGGATAATATTGATTAGTCAACTACGCTTCCATTTAATCAATCTTGAATCTTGAAATGACAGCAACATTACCTTACAAGCACCTGTTATCATTTATATCATCTGGTAAGTGGCTAGATGAAGTGAATAAGTTAATTTAGTTGATGACATAAATGACATAAATGTTTAAACTGCTTTACCGCGGTGAAAAATAATCAATCGAGAAGAAGTTTAACATTTGTTAATATCAATTTAACCATCATCAACTCTACCATTGGGGCCGATTGGAAACGCTAACTACAAAAGAAAAAAGTTAAAAAGTTAAAAAACGATGATGATGATGAAAGATGAAAAAGTAAATGTAAAAAGGCGAAATAACTTCTCTCAAGGAAAAACGATTGAAAGCGAGAATAGGCCTTAGGCTATTTCACATACAATGGAGTCAAATGAATGGACCCAGGGCCACAGGTAAACAGAGCATTGAAAATACATTTATACTTACCTTGTAATATCATTAAATGTCCACCAAGAATACTGAGAAAATGAAATTACAGAAAAATTGTAATAGCAAAAGATGACAAACAATTTGTTCAAATGTAACAACCACAAATATTGTCCTTGACAACAGACACTCATTGATTCCCGCCACTTTCAAATAGAACGCAAATTGCAATTAAAAGCATATTATTAACTTAATGTTGCTATTAAACTCTGACAATAATAATAGAAAGTCCGAGTGTCATTAAAATTGCAAAAATAATGATTCGAATGATGATTCAATTGCAATTCAACAAATATCGCAGCATTTTATGGTGTCTATCAGTAAAGGAAAAGCTTGAGATGAAAGTGAAACTTGGTTGACTTTTTTTTTTACTTTGTTACTTACTTAATTTGATGGTTTTTTGTTGCTCTTGCTGTACATTTGAATGATGAAAGAAAGAGAAAAGAAAAAGGAAAAGAAAGAAATGAAAGATAAATGAAAGACAAGAATAGAACTACAGTCAGAAGAAAAAAGTAATTGCAGGTTTTACTTTAAAAGTAATGTAGCTTTAGGTTTAGCTATTGGAGGAAAAAAGGAGTTTGTTTCTGTCTCTCTCTCTCTCTGGTACGCAAGTGAAGAAGAGAGGAAGAAAAGTCAAAGAGAGTGAAACAGAGAAAGAGAGAGAAGATAGAGAAAGGAAAGAAAGAGGAAGATAAGAGAGAGAGACATGAAGAGAGGGCAAAGGGGCGATGAGATAGACCGAGTTAAAGTCTCATCTCTTCAGTTGGGACTTCTCTATCGTTTCAATCATTGACATCAGTCAGCATCTTATTTTTGCTTTCACTTTTTGTTCACAATTAAGAGTTTTATTAATTTCCTTATTAATCAATCAACACCTTAACAACATTTAACCTCTCATTTAATCCAAATTTAACCAACATTAACCACAACTTGGACTGCCTTTCAACACTTTATGTCATCTACTTGAGACTTGTTTACCTTTTTTTCAGTTTACTTTTCGAGTTTACTTTTCACAAGAATCCAACTTTACAATTATAAACAATTAAACAACCATTGATCTTTGATTATTTCAACATTGGTTGATAATCACATGAAACATTTAATGAAAAATGAATCCAAATTGATTACCAGTCGCCAACTTTCAATATGATATTGAACAAGTTAACCATGTTGGATGGACCTTAAGCAATATTCACTTTTCACCATTAAAATCTGATTCTCAAGTCACTTTGTTTTGTTTTTACGTGTTTTGTTTATTTTCAATTTAAATTAATCAAATCAAATCATACCTCAAACATCACCATGATTTATGCAACTGTCATCATTTCATTCATCATTAATCTTATCAATTCACCATTAGTTTCATCGTCTTGGTGGTAAGTAAATATTTTTTTATCTTAACAAAACATTGATCAATATGAAAGATTAACTAATTGTTGGGTCAACTCAAGCTACTGACAATAATCTATGGACTGGTTAATAACATTGACTCCAATGCTTTAACTCGTTCATTGCACTTCCAATGATAAAATCTTGAACTCTAATTTGACTTGTCTTTTCACAAGTTTAACAATTGTTGATTAATTAGTACATGTGTAATGGCACTTTTTATGTTCAATCATTGGTCTAATCGTCTTCAATTGACTGATTTTGTGCTTTAAAATTGCAAATAATCACATTTGTTATTTCAACCTTTTCAGTTTGACAGGTTTTCACTCTTTGGTAACAACTTTTCATTTTAACCAAGTTACCATGAAAATTTTAGTTTCCAGTTTAATGTTGATTCTTTGAAATGACAAGAAATATTTATTATAATAATTATTGATGCATTTTAAATAAAATTTAGAATGTATTTTTGTTCCAAAATGAAAAAAAAATACTTCACCCAATTTCATTTCAAGTTACCCGGGTTAACAATTTTAAGCGGGACATCAGAAGGTTTACTTGATATGATACTTATGATAACCGTTGACTTCCTTAATGAATCGAGTGTTGTTGTTTTAATTTGTTTTAAATATTAAACAATTTGCCAAGAATTTGTTTTCCCTACATTGATTACAATCTCTATCATCATCTAAACCATCATTACCGTCCTACACAGACTTGCAAATAACCAGCAAACCATTAACTGAGAAACATTCAAAAAATCAACAAAATATTAGACAACAATGTGAGTCAAACAAAAGTCTTGTCATTCTGTGCTGCTAACCATTACAAGTTGTTGACAGAGATTAACATCTTTACATCTCGTTGGCTTCGATGTGTTTCACTTTCTTCAACCAACCACAACAATTTATTTAACTGAAATTCTCGTCATATAATGTTTCATAGTTCCCAAAGAAAGATATTTTAACTCAACATGGAATAACTTCAACCAATGTGATGCCATTTGTAATTTGGATATAAACATTTCTTTTGTTCCAACTTTAACATTCAATTGACTAGATCTATGCGTTGACTTGGGATCTTTTGTCCAGATTTACCTTTCTTCTGCTCCTAAACCAACACAAGAAGCTTTTTAAATTATCCAGATCTAGCCTTAATTTCACCAGGTGACTTAGTTTTCTATAGCCAAGGATGGTATCATCATTTATTATCGTCCAATATTTTCTGGTTATCTCTCATCTTCATTAATATTTTTCGACTTACAAGCGTTGGTATCATGATTCATGATCTTTTAAGCTATACCTGAGGAATGTATTCTCTTGAAAGCGAGTTGATACTGATCATTTTACCGTGGAGCAGCTTTTAAAAATGGAGCAACTAATGTAAATGCATTCTTCAGTTCTTTATGGATATTTTGCCCGCACTCTGTTTTCAAAATTGGTTATTGATTAGCACACAATTACAACCATTTACCTGTCCATCATCGATGAGCCCTTTCTCGTTTTACCCTGCAAAATATGATTTCCTAATCAATTTGGTTACAAGTTTCCCCTGGTCCCTTTTGTTAACCAGTACTGCAGAAATGGAAAATCAAAATATTAAAATATTTTGACATTAAATTAAATGATATTGGTAACCTGGCGTGATGTATGATTCTTTGGTGGCAACGATCTCATCAAATTCCGTTTTGAAGGAAGCTCATAAAATTCATTGGAGTATGATCATATCATGGAAAAAAATGCTGAAAAGATACAACTCGTTTACAAATTAGCTTTATTTCATCAAAACTACCATCTTATCAAAGAAAATTCATGTTTTTGAAGTTGATTAACTGGGAGAGATGACGAGAAGGAAAATAAAGTAAAATCAATTAAAAAGTCGTTGAATAGCTGAACAGGAAGAAATGCAATAACACAATAAGCAGCAATTATGGATATCATTTCTCATCATTGACTGACGACAAATTTTACAAGCTAATCAAAATGATCAGTCTTTACACTTTTCTTTCCAGTCTAAATTTATATCTTTAAACCTGACAAGCCTCAAATGTACAATGAAGGATCCAAAGTTGAGATTAGAAGTTTTTCCCTGGATAAATCACTGGAAATTTGGTTTTAATAGAGAGGAAGAACCATAAAACATGGCACTGTTGAAATGGAAATTCATGTTTATTTGACTCAATGAAATGTGGATCGATGAAAATTTAAATCAAGATAGTGTTGGTTGAATTGAAACTAACCCAATTTATCCAGAATTTATGTTTCTTAGTAAATCTTTGCCCTGGTAATAAAATAACAACAAAATGTGTTTCAAGCTTTCCGCATTAACCAAGATAAAAGTTGGAGGACGATTAAAACTGTCGACTGTGAATGTATTCAATTCATGGGAAGAGAAAGCAAAGAAAAAAGAGAATCCAGTTGAACAAAGTAATGAAGACAATATCTATAGAAGTTGAGGAAAATTTGATATTTTATTTTATTCTTCCTTTTCTTTTATAGCCATACTCAGTTTCTTGACCTGATATTTTATAGCAGATAAAATAAGGAATATTATGATTATTGTTTCCCGGTTAAGGCTCCTGTTGGAATTAAATGGCTGAATTGATTCCCTTTTGGACGAATATGTAAACCTTTATAACAATAAGTGCCATAACGATAAACAGTTATGTTGGATATTATTTTTATACTTTTACTGTGCTCAGCTTTGTGCTTATGCATACATTTTGGTTACTGGAACCAAGAAAAAAAAGAGTCTAAAGTAACCTTAATCTTTAGAGTATAACTTTATTGGCCGATTCTGATTCACATCATCATCAACAATCATCAGGCTTTTATTATTATTCCTAGTATTGATTCCTGGTAACATTTTGATCAGCGTTGCATCTCTTTTTTTATTTGTGACTATTTAATTGCCTTCTCTCAGTTAATTTATTTATTCTCTTTATTACCTTTCTACTATTCTAGCTGTTTAACAATATCTAATGATAACTTATGTTGTTGATCGGACTTTGGTTTGACCCTTACAATTGCATTTTGGTCTTATATTACAATACAATTTATTATCTTTCCCACAAAGTCAAACTGCTCCATTTCACTGCAAACCCATAGAGTGTGTTTCACAGGAGAGGAAAACCGTTAACAGTTAACCATTAATATTGCCCTGCAACTGTATTGGGTCAACATTGGTGATTGGTACAATTTAATTATCGATATTAATCAGTTTGTTGCCAAATCAGACATCCTTGCCAATAACCAGTGATTCAATAGTTTCTGGTGAAAACATGAAAACTAGAATCAGTTTAACCTTATTTTTTAAACTGAAGCAGAAACAAATCTCAACCTTGATTTGATTTCAATACTTTCAATCAACTATTATTAAATAGTATTAGGGTGAAATTTAATTTACCTATCTGTTATTTGTTTACGTATGAGTGTGTTTTTTACCCGTTTACATGTTTAATTATTGAATGTGACGAAAAACTTGTTCTCGAAGTGATTAAGTGTTAACATGCAACTCATTTATAAACTAAATTATGAATCAACACATTGGTTAATGGAAAATGATTAACTTTTAAAATGAAAGGTTTCATTGCTAATTGTCACAATTTGAGTTTACTTTGATTGAGTTGCTAAGATATCAATTAGCTTTAATTTTTAAACCATTTCCACGGCTTTTTAACGCTATCAATCATATTTTTGTCTTCAGATGGAAAGAAAAGCTAATTAAATTTCAATATGCTTGAAATTTGACGGTAAAATATCATTTGGAAACAAATTCAATTATTTATTTGCAAACAAAACCAGTTCCATTTGAAATTGTATTTGAATAGCTGAAAGAAATCAATGTAATCCCGACAAATGGTACAAATTTCTGCATAAGTGGACCTTCAGTAAAATGTTTTTATTACTGTCAGTGGCCAAACTGGGCACAATGTAAGCATAAAAACTGTTAGCCAATGGAGTGGACAAGGTCAACTTTAATTTCGATAGCAAATGTACTTTGCCAGAAAGGCCTGTGAAACTAGTAGCCTAATAGCTAATACATTAACTTGCTCAAATGAAATTTATCTTTGTAAAGATATTTGATTTTTACAATAGATCATGATTTTCGCCTTTCTCTATCACCTTAGGCAGTAATGAGGCAACACGATCAGCTATAATGCAAATTGTTAAAGATTTAACAGTTAAAAAGTGTAATAAGATTGTTAAAAGTGTAAAAAGATGAGTTGAGCCATTTCGCTTGCAATAAAAAAAGGCAACTGTTTAAGGAATCCTTTTATCATCTTCCAAGGTGTAGATGTAATAACAAGGCCAGAAACTGGAAAAGGTAAAGGTAATCACAGTAAAGGTGGTGGAGATAATTGCCGGCTATTAACTGATGAAGGTTTGAACAAAAATCAAGCCTTGAACTGGCCGTAAGTTGACTTTTATGATCTCTTCCATTGTTGAGCTTATCCAATTTTGTTTGAAAGTTGTTGCTTACTTTTACTGTTACTGTTTGAAACACTTTTGTAACACAGTAAACTATTAACACAAATACTTTATTGTATAGATACATGATTTGAGAAAAATGAGCAAAAATTAATCAGCATTACTAGGTATTTTGAGTGTTGTAAATCACGATAATCAATTTGATAGTAAAACTCACTCCGAGTTAACTCGGGTTTTGCAGCTGATAATGATCCTTGGCAAGTCTTTGATCCATCTATATGGATCCATATCTCCATTGGACTTTTATTAAACTGTGGATCAAACAAAACTGTCAATGTGTAACCTTAATTGTTTCTCTTGTTTGTTTATTTGTTTTCTCTTGTGCTTAAAATATCTTAGGATGTGTTTTTCTGCTCTGTTAAATTATTGTCCATTTAATGATGACTTATTATTGTTAACATTGGTCATAACTCTTGATTAAAGGTCATTTAACCAACGCCAGTTGGTTTCTTTTTTCCTCTACCAATGACCGTTTACAGAGTAACCATTGGCCTTTCCTTTCCCTCTATTTTTTTTCCTGTTCACTCTTCAATAAATCGCCTTCCAACATTACCACTAATCTTTTGCCCTGACTCACTTGACTTCACTTCGGCCGAGAAAATGACCATCATCATCATTATCACCATCAATATCACCATGTTTATCCCTCCTTGTTGAACAAAATTGTATCCGCTCATACAATTTTGCACTATTTGCTCCTTGTGTTTTACTTGTATTACAGTTGACTGTTTTTTTCTTCCCTTTTTTTCTGGTTTTTTCCCACTAACTTGGCCTATTTTTCTCGATAATTTCCAAGTTCAACTTACAACTGTTTTATCAAAAAAACATGGCTCTTTAGTAACAGCACTTCTTTTACTAAACTGTTTCACTCCCATTCACCTTTAACAGAGTTATGAAGAGATCTCTGATTTATTCTTGATACTTTAACATTACAATATTGGTATCGCTTTCCTGATTGTATCTACAACAGCATGAGGAAGGAACAAATGATGAAAGGTCAAGACTGTCCAAGTCTATTCTGGTAGCTGAAATGGCTCTCAACAGTATCTCTATAATTGGCAATTTATCACCCAATTTGTTTAAATCAAGCTAATAAGTGGACAGAATAGAAAGATGCCAAAGTTACTCATTTTGAAATTCATGAGGAAGGTCAATAAAGAAATACCTGTGGGAAGAAAAGGAATAATGAAGTGGAAGAAAATGGTTTAGCAATGAATCAAGAACAGGAAAAATATATCAAGAAACAAAAAAAGACAGGAAACCACAAAAACATCTGAGATTTTTTTTGTGTGTCCAATGTTGAACAGTTTATCATCGTCTTTGTCTCCATTGTTTTGTTAATATCACATCTTTCGAGATTTGTCCTTTTCCCTGACAACAACCCGATAAAAGGAGTATTTTTTGCATAATGCTCTATCCATTAACTATCCATTCATTTGCGAGCTACATTTCGCTTCTCTGTTATATTAGTTTACCTCGTTTTTTTTCTCGTCGAAAAAAAAACTTTTGGCTTTTTCTCCTTGAACCATATTTTTAGCTAAATCAGTGAGATATTTTACTTGAAAGTTGAATGTACTTGACAATAGAAAAAAATGCTTGATGATAATAACATCAAATTATGGTAATACCAAGCTGAACAACCATTTATTGGATTCCTTTTCTTACAATTGTGAAGTACCTTCATCATTCACCGAATCATTATCCATTTTACTTTGTTCAACAGGGTCTACTTTAACGATAAAGCCAATCATGTCAATCTCATTGTTCCTAATCATACATGGTTCATCTAATTTTTAAGGTTGACTCAGCTTTGCTTGCGATTCCTTTCCTTCTTGATGATCCCAATCATAGTGAAAAAGGATGAAGATATTGTAGAAAGAGTAAAGATGATAGAAATTAAATCAGAAAGCAAGTTGGTAGCAAAAGATGGTTTAAGCTGTTACGATGATGAAGAGGATGCGATTTAAACATAATTGATTTTAGAGATAGAGTGAAATGAGTATTGGAGTAACTCTCTGAGCACATAAGCAACGAATTAATTACCAGCCAGGTCAGCCAGGTCATCCAGGTAATCTATTTGATTGTCAGGGTTAACCTGAAAGAGGGAAACAATAAGGAATAAAAAAAATTGAACCAAAAAGTAATCACAACAATCAATAGTTGAAGATAACTTACTTGATTTGAACAAGTTGTTATTACGCAAAGAAGAAAAAGATGAGCGCTAAAAAAGAAAGGTTTTTCATCTTTTTTGGCATCTAAGTTGGCTAATTGTGGGTTAACCTTACACATGAAATGGCCATTAAACTAGGCAAAGGCTATTAACAATGTTTCCCCGGAGGGTATCATGGGTATAATAAGCAAAAAGTGATTCTTGTTTGCTCATTTCGTTTCCTTGATATCAACATTTCAAAAATAAAGGGAAAAAAAGAGATGAGCCAATCTCAAGCATAATAATAGTGCTACTACTAATAAAGATGAGTGTTAAGTAGCATCATTAAAGGAACCAGGGTGAACACAGATGAATATCAATTGCTCTCCTTGTATCTTTTTTTAACAGCCAATCGTCGTGATATTAAAAAAGTAATTCTGGTTGCTTGAAAAACATTCTTGACGTTTGTGATGTTGAACAATTATTAAACGACTGGTTGTAAAATCACATAAAAATAACATGGGACGCTTGAGACGTTTCCTTTTGTTTCCTTTTCTTCTTTCTGTAAATTCTTATTTGCCATTTGATTGAAATGTTGGGCCAAATTGAACCATCTTGATAGTTACATGAATTAATCCCACAGGTAACCTTCATCACGATCCTGAAATCACATTTTCTCAAACCAGTCATTTTCTCGTCACTGCTTGGGTCAAAGTTAACAATGTTACAAATGTATGCTTGAGATGACTAACAAGAGGGGCTCCTTTTTTGGGACTTTTAGTATTTTAATGAGCAGCTCAGGTTGAATAGTTTTAAAAATGGACTCATCAGAATTTTTGTCTTCTTTTTCTTTCCTTTTCCAGGTCATTAGGAATACCAACATCTCATAAAGAAATACTAGAAATCAAACCGACATCAGCTAAAGCTCACTGTAGAGGGCTTTCTTCATTAGAGGATAACCAGAAGCAGCTTTGTGAACTTAATCATCATATTCTTCAAGCAATTAGCAAGGGGGCCAAATTGGGTATAGATGAGTGTCAACATCAATTTAGACGGAATCGCTGGAACTGTACCACTTTTGAAGATCATCCGAAAATTTTTGGAAGCGTTGTGGAATCAAGTGAGTCATTTATCTTACAATAAACAAAATCAATGTTTACTTGGATCAAATTTGATTAAAAGAAAGAAATTAAACAAAAACATTATAATGACAAATTGATGTATGAAGTAATAAGAACTAGATGGGAAAAGTTATTCATAAACAAGTGTGAGTATGAACATTTGACTAAAGATGATGTAATAACTATGGAAATGACATAAAAGAATATCAAAATGAAAAACTTTGGGATATGAAAATAGATTTTAAATCGGCAACATGGAATGGAAATGAAACGAAAATGAAATGATAGAAGAGATCTTTGATTTTATCTGTAGATTGAGACGCTCAATCATCACTGCTACTCGATTCTTCTGAAAGATTGGCATGTTCAACGATTCTCACAGTTTTAGGTGGTGGAGATGGGCACTTGATGAATTTTACCGTCGTTGACTTTCGAGCTTGTTGTCTTTTCATCTTTTTTGCCGGTTTTTGTTTGTTGTTGAAGATGTTGACAAAAAATAATTTACTTTGATAAAATTCAATTACCAAATGGGGACACAAAACATTGGTCAGTGATGAAGGTATCATCGTCTTTTGTCCTCCTCTAAGCTTTACATAGTGAATTAACCGTCCATTGATTGTGGCTATTGAAAGAATTTCGTCGATATCAAAATCACCGATAGGATGTGAAATGTGATCAGGAAAGGGCACAACAAATTCAGCTGACATCATGTTTAATTCAAGAATAACTGGAACAATGAGTGAAGATAAATAATGAACTTTGAGTAAATCTATGTAAGAAACGCAATAAGAAGCAAAGACAAGATTACAAATAAAGTAAAGAGTAAATTTGAGGGAAAGGATATCTAAATCTTACCGCGAATTATAAACCATGAAACTGATTAATTTAAAATGAAAACTCTAGAGCAAAGCACTTTTAATGGTCATTGCTTGACTGCGACCATCTTTGATAGCTAAAATGAGTCATAAGACACTTGTTAGTTCTGAAGTTGACGCTAGATTGAAAAAACAGTTAACTTCGAGTTAATAATAGATTAGATGAGTGGTTATAGCAAAAATCGATTGACCCTTGACACTAATTCACATCCAGATGAAGTCTTGAGCACTTTTAAAACCAATTGAGATTGTCACTACTGATTAACAAGATTTAGTTAACAAATTTAACAACTTTTAAATTGTCAGCTGACAAAATAAAATAGCCATCAATTTTTGGCGCCAAGTACGAAATAAAGGAAACAAGTAAAATTATTATTTTATCCATATATTAAGTGTTTGACTCTCGTTTCTGCTCTGAATTAGAACTGAATCAGGTAAATATTCAAATCAACATTTCATTAATTTTATGATTAAGAAAATTTATATTTCATTCGATGAAAAAACGAGAACTTAACTGGACTGAGGGACTGCTTAAAAATCTAGTCATGTTGGATGTTGAGTTTGTAAGCCAAGATTTACAAGTGAAATTATTTTTTAACTTATTTTTGTTTTGATTAATTAACAAGTTAATTTCTTTTTCTCTTTATTATTAGGAAGTCGTGAAAAGGCTTACATATATGCCATTTCAGCGGCCGGACTATCTTACACAGTCACTAAAGCCTGTAGCCAGAGTTTGCTGGCCAATTGTAGCTGTGACAATGGAATACGCAGTAAAACAACAAAAGGAAAATGGAATTGGGGTGGCTGTTCCGATGATATTCAATATGGTTCCTTATTTAGTCGATCGTTTCTTGATTCACTTGAGGATAACTCAACTGCTGATGGATTGATGAATCTTCATAACAATGAGGCTGGAAGATCGGTAATAACCAAGCCTCGTTTGCTCTTTTAAGCAACATTTGCTGTATTCAATGCATCATATTAACATTTCGCTATCTTGTTTATTACAGATACTTAAATCGAAAATGGAAAGAGTTTGTAAATGCCATGGAGTATCAGGCTCCTGTACTATGAGAGTTTGCTGGAGGAAATTAGGATCTTTCCGAGGTATTGGCGATGAATTGATGAAACGATTCGATGGTGCAACAAAGGTACGCCTTGTTGCGAGGAAAACAAAACCAAGACTAAAGCCAATTACAAAAGAAATAAAGAAACCAAGTAGACGAGATTTGGTTTTTCTTGAACCATCACTAAATTACTGTGAACGAAATGAAACGTAAGAACAAATTGATTGAACTAACACTGAAATTTCTGCGCTATTCTTTTACTAATTTATCATTATATTTTATCCCTAGGCTTAAGATTCTCGGAACGCAAGGTCGAAGATGCAATGCTACAAGCTTGGATACTGACTCTTGCAAGTTACTCTGTTGTGGTCGTGGATATCATACCATGGTTCGTAGTGTTCAAGACAAGTGTAATTGCAAATTCATTTGGTGCTGCCGGGTTGACTGTCAAAAGTGTATGGTCCAAAAAGAGGAGCATTTTTGTAATTAAAGCCCCAATCTCTACGCATGATGGACAATTGGATGGTTAAAGACTGCGGAAATGTTTCGATAATCTTTTTTTATTCGCAAAATTTTTCATTGCTCACTAGATTTTGTTGATTTCACCTTTATAATTTAGACTGATCTAAGATGCATTTATTTATATCAGCATAGAATATCAAATCATCCATTATCTTCTTATTTCTTTCCTCTTCTCAATTTGTGTTTTTTTTCAAGAACAGGAAGAAAATTCTCATAATCTTTTTACTCATTCAAACCATAATAAGATCTCTCAACAAAACGATTATATAATTATAAATATGTATGTATAAAAGCAAACTTTTTATCAAAAAATTGTCAATTTAGGTCGTCTCAACGTTTTACTCTCGATTTACATTGGCAATTGATTTAATCTCAACAATAATTGAAAAACAACCCTCTTTGTTGTGCATTGTTTCAATCAAACAATAGAGGCAAATATTTAAAACAATCAATTTCAACCATCAAGATTATTTGTGATGCTTTAAACCCATTAAATTTATCTTGAACCAATTAAATAAAAATGAACAAGTCTTGAATATTTGGTATGAAAAAAGGATAATTATGGAACTAGAATACCATCATAAACAGTCTTCCATTTAATACAAAAACTATGCCGACTAAATGTACAACTGATTGTCGGAAAAAGCTAATCAGAAACATAATATCGAAAAGTCATTTATTTATTTGAAACTATTACGTTCCAAATCATCCTTTTGTGTTTTATTTTGTGCTTTACTTTTAGGCAATGATTTACTTGATACTGTTTTTGGGCTGATCAAGCTAGCTTTGCCGACAGACTTGGAACTTGAAGTTTTTTTCGGTTGAATACTCTTAGCTAAATCAACTGGTAATTTACTTTTAGGAACCTTAGTACTCGAAATATTTTTTGATATCAAACTCTCTTTGCTCGAAGCATTTGTTTTCGATTTTGTGCGTTCCTTTGAAGTAATGCTTCTTGGTTTCAACCTTTCTTTGCTAGTTACACTTATTTTGGATTGGGATCGATCCTTTGAAGCAATCTTTGATGCCAATCTTTCAAAGCTCATAGCATCCGTTGTTGATTGTAATCGATCTACTGAAATAATATTTTTTGCTGTAAAACTCTCTTTGCTTACAGCATTTATTTTCGATTGTGAGCGATCACTTGAAACAATCTCCTTGATACCCAATTCAAGTTTGGATTTTGATGGATCACGTAACGTTGTTTCAGCTAATGTACTGGTTAAGCCCCAATCCTTAAGTTTAGCTTGATTCGGAATATTTAATTCTGTCTTGGATCCTCCATGTGGAATTCCAATGCCCGAATTTCGAGATTCAAGATTATTTCGGCGTTTAAAATAAAAAAAGAGGATCAAACTTAAAGCAAAAACAATAGAAGCAATAATTACAGCTGATACAGTTAGGATGAAGAAACGATTGGTTCCACCCCTGGCTTTTTGTCTCTGTAAAAATAAAATAAAAATGAAAGATTATATTCTAATGAACAATAAAAGGTGAAAGTATCACAATGTTGTGGTGAAAATTTGATATCATTTAACATAGGAATCAACAATCAAGTCGAAACCATCTTCACAAAATTAATTCATTGCTCAAAAGGAATTGATTGAATATGGCAAAACCAGGAAGATGTTATGAGCGATGAGCGATAAGCGATTTTTTCACAATTTTCATCCCAACGTGTTACGTACTAAATTACAATTGGTGTCACATTTAGAGCCACATTCTAATGGGTGTAAACAGTCACAGCTTTCAGTATTTTCGATGATTCCATTTCCACAAACTGGAACAAAAACATCTTCAGGAGGCTTTTTGATACAAACGGGTTCGTTGAGCTGTAAGCTGGTAACTATACATTGAATTTGTTCCTGTGAAAGATTTTTAACAGGATTTTCCTCAAGTACAAGGCATGCACCAGCACCACAAGGCCCATAACAGCCCTCAATAAGCTGTACAATCTCATGGAATAGTATGTCATTCAAATCTTTTCCATTATTATCTGGCTTCAAGTCATAATCCCAATACACAATAGGTACATAACATATATCAGTTAGAATAGTTACCAAGGATTCACGTTTATTGTTGAAAACAAAAACCACGATTATGGCATCAAAAATGAGACTCTTCAGGATATCGTCCAACTTAGCACCGATGCCAGCACGAAAATTTTCCTCTGAAACCTGTGACCAATTGGATGGTAAAGGTGGCACATAAGCCATACCAGCAATGTAGGAAAGAGTTTTAATTTTACTTAAAAAACGGTTAATTATGCGAATGTGAGGATGTAAAAAGTCTATTGCTCTTGAACTATTTAAAGGTTTCTCGATAATGAAATAAAGTCCAAAAAAGTAGCTTATCCCAGGAGCTGATACTTCACGTACTACAGCAGTTGTAATTGGTACTCCAACATCAATCTGGTCGAACCAGATTTTTACATGAGTCTCGTTGATACTCATAGACTGTAGTTGTTCTGGTAATATCTTGTTGGCCACATCGTTAAATAAATCATCTGGTGTCTCTAAAGTACCAACAATACTTGCTAGTATGGAATGATACAGTAAAAAATAGATTATCTCATGAATTATTATCATGTATAAAAAAGTATCGGATTGGCACTGAATTAAAGCTTGACTTGTTTCTCTGGTAATCCAATTCCATAAACATAAAATTTAGGTCATAAATAATTTTTGTCAACTAAACAATTAGCATAGATAGTCATTCAATAAGACTATTTTTAAGAAAGTTAATCAATACTCTCCAGAAAACAGTTGACAATTATTATAGAACCAAGGATGATAAATTTAAAAACCAGATGAGATGAAAAGAATAATAAACAGATTAACCTTTCAATGAAAAGCATTGCGATTCTTAGTTGTTAAATGATTGTTCAGCTGAAAATTAGTTTTTAGAGTCAAAGTTCCCGCTGTTTTAATGGTCTCATCATAAACAGCCTTCGATTTAATATAAAGACTATGCCGAGCAAATAAATGTACAACTGTCTGTCTAGAAAAGCTGAGAAAAAACATAATATTGAAAAGTCTTAATTTATGTATTATTTGAAGCTAATACGTTTCAAATCGTTCTTTGGTGTTTTACTTTTAGCCAATGATTTACTTGATACTGTTTTTGGGCTGATCGATCTAGCTTTGCCGACAGACTTGCCAACAGACTTGCCGACAGACTTGCCGACAGACTTGGCGATAGATCTTAGAGTTTCTTGCAGCTGAATACTCTTGGATAGATCAACCATCGATTTATTTTTAGTAATCTTGGTACTAAAAATTGTTTTCGGTATGAATATCTCTTTGCTCAATACACTTGTTTGCGATATTGAGCTAGCTTTTGAAGAAATCCTTCTAGCACCCAAATCAAACTTGGATTTTGATGGATTATACATTGTTACTTCGCCTACTGTACAGGTTAAGGTCCAATCTTTAAGTTTACATTGAACGGGAATATTGAATTCGGTCTTGGATCCTACATGTGGGATTGAGATGACCGAAGATTGCGATTTAACACCATTTCCTTGTTTAAAATGTAAATAGATGAATGTACTTAAAGCCAAAATAATAAGAATAACAATTACAGATGATATGCTTATGATGAAGTATTGACTGGGTCCTCTCCTTGAACTTTTTCTCTGTAAAGAATAAAAAAAACAGATTATATTCTAATGAACAATAAAAGATGAAAGTATCACAATGTTGGGGTAAAAATTTGAAATCAAAAGATAGAAATCGAAACCATTTTCACAAGATTAATTTATCATTCAAAAGGAATTAATTGGATATGGCAAAACCAGGAAGATGTTATGAGCGATTAGCGATTTTTTCTTAATTTTCATCCCAACGTGTTACATACTAAATTACAATTGGCGTCACATTTAGAGCCACATTCTAATGGGTGTAAACAGTCGCAGCTTTCAGAATTTTCGATGATTCCATTTCCACAAACTGGAACAAAAACATCTTTGACAGGCTCTTTGATACAAGAGACTTCGTTTGTTTCAATGCTTTTAGCCATACATTGAATTTCATCCTTTGAAAGATTCTTAGAAGGTAAAAAAAGTGACTCGCATCCACCATCTTTACAGGGTTCCGCACATGCACCAAGAATAATTAAAATCTCTAGGACTAGCAAATTGTCCAATTGATTTTCAGCGGGATTCAAGGCATAATCCCAATACATAATAGCTCCAGTACATACTTCAGTTCCAACAGCCGCCAAGGACTCAGGTTTATTGATAAAAACAAAAACCGCTAAGACGGCACGAAAAATGTGATTCTTCATCATATCTTCCAACTTAGAGGCAATTCCAGCACGAAAATTTGTCTCTGAAATATCATACAAATACGGTGGTAATGGGGGGACATGAGCAATGCCAGCAATGTAGGTAAGAGTCTTAAATTTACTTAAAAAACGGTTCATTATGCGAATGTGAGGATGTAAAAAGTTTATCACTCTTGAACTATTTAAAGGTGTCTCGATAATGAAATAAAGTCCAATGTAGTATTTTATCCCAGGAGCTGATACTTCACGTACTACAGCAGTTGTATTTGATGCTTCAACATCAATCTGGTCGAACCAGATTTTTACATAAGTCTCGTTATCCATGGACTGTAGTTTTTCTGGTAATATCTTGTTGGCCACATCGTTAAATAAATCATCTGGTGTCTCTAAAGTACCAACAATACTTGCTAGTATGGAATGATACAGTAAAAAATAGATTATCTCATGAATTATTACCATGAATAAAAAATTATCTGATTGGCACTGAATAAAATTGTAACTTGGATTCTTTGGTAACACAATTCCATCAACATTAAAATTCAGGTCATAAAATATTTTTGCCAACTAAACAATTAGCATAGATAGTCTTTTAAGAAAGGTAAACAATACTCTCCACAAAACGGTTGACACTGCACAATATGTATAGAGACAAGGATGATATATTTTTAAAATCAGATGTGATGAAAAGAATAATAAACAGATTAACCTTACAATTAAAAGTATTTTGATTCTTTTTTTGTTAAATTATAGATCAATGTCCAGCTGGAAATTACTTTTTACAATCAAAGTTCCCGCTGTTTTAATGGGTTACCAGCTCGTCTAATAACCAAAGCGTAAAAGGCTATCACAATAACTGTTTAACTCTGAAGTCACCCAAAAGATGGTGAAATAGCCTCTTGTTATGAAATGACATTTGATATTTACTTCTGACATTACGTCAATAGTTATTAACCTTCATTTATAGCCTTTGTGATATCAATACAATTAGCAATTTGGTTAACAAAATTACGGACAACAATTATTATGGCTAAATTTAGATTAATCCTGTTCAAATAATATCGTTTAATTATCTCATCGTCTGTACCAGCAAACGATCAAGAAAAGGTATGTATATTGAAACGAGGTAATCTATTGCAATTAATTACCACTTTTTAGCTATTATATGATTACTGATTGCTGATCTAATTTATGTAATCAATGGATGGTTGCTTTATTAAACTAATTAGCCCTGTTTACATAGAAACATGAAGACACGATTACCATGCCAATCTTGTTTTCACAAACCAAACTCAGAAACCTTTTGAAAGCTTATCAGATTGATGTAACCAGTCAAACAATCAATCAATCAATCAAATCAACCATTAACCTTACCATTTGATCAGTCAAGAATCATGTCCATCATGTATTGACTTATTCGGTGATTCAATCATTGAACAAATTAACATTAATTCTTTGTTTTCACATGAAAAATTCTAGCTAATTTCAGTGCATGCTTAGATTTCTTTCATTCTAGTTCATATTTTTTTTTCTCAGTTTTATCTTTGAATTAGCAGTTGAAATAAATTCATTGTTTCTCCACCATGAATAGGCTTAAATTACTTTCAATTTTTCCTATCATTCTATTACCTCTTGCTGTGAGTCACAATTCCTAATAAATTTCTTTTCTAGTCAATTTTTCCTTTTACATTAATCACTTTTTCTCTTCTATCTTTTTTCCAGAATTGTAAACTTATCAATGAATATTACATCCGAACGTTTCCTGAAGACATATCAATTAACTTTCCCGAAGGTCGAGTCTTGAGTTGCCTTTCAAACTGTCCAGATAAGGGCTGCAATTGTTTCAGGTAAATAACCATATGCACCGAAAATTGAATCCTTTTGTTTCTTTGTCTCATTCATTTTCCCTTTTTTTCATTTTCTCCCCAATCAGGATATCGAAAGATACCAGCGATACAAATTGTGAATATGAAATAGCTGATGTGTCAAACAATGACAAATTCATTTACTATGCTCTGGTAAGTGAAAAATGGTTGAAACCAATAAACAACAAAGAATTGGAAAAGTATTGACTCAAGTAATTCTGTAGGCTGGTAAAGAGTTAATAGGAAACAATTGGAAAATATATCAACCCATAAGCATTCTTAAAGTGAATCTTGAATCTTAGCTCTATAACAATTCATACACTTTGACCTTATCAAAAATAATTTTCCTGATAAATTACGTTCTACTAGATTATTACAGCATTTCCAATTGCATCCTACACGAGTTACTTTTTTCCTCATTAGCTGAATAGCTAACGATTAAAAGTCTCTCTTGTTATAATTTTTCTAATTATTTACCGGGCTTGACATTTTAGATCCATATTTATATAATTATTAAACAATCTTCTCCACACTTAACTCTTTACTAAGAAGCTTGATATCAAATTAACCAAGTTAATTAGTAATTATGTATGGAAAATCTGATAAATATTGCAATGTATTTTCATTTGTTAATGAATTCCTTTCTTTTCTTGTCCCAATCTATTACAGGATAGATATAACTCAACTTTCACCGGAGGTTTGTTGGTCAAAAACGGCTTAAATTGTACATAAACTCTGACCATGTTTTTGTTTAATCTTGTCCAGGTAAAAATTTGGTCGATCCAAATAAGATAACCAAAAGTGCTGGAACAAGTGAGACTGAAAGTGCAACTACAACCCATCCATGGATTCAATTTGATTTGACAAAAGAATACGTCATTACTGGAATACAGATTCGATCAAATAAAGGTAAATAACAACCTTAAAGACTTTCAACTGATATATTTGCTAGTCAACAGTAAAAGTCATTTTCAAGCTACAAGTTTTCCTCCTCTGATTCAATTTTTAAAGTCATTTGAAATATTGAGTAAAACAGCACAATATTTAATTAGCCGATTGATCAATTTGTAAAACAAAAGCAACACAAGAAAAATTGAATCACTTGAGGAATATAAAGTTGAAATCGTCTATAAGTTAATTACAGTGATATATAGCAGCTCATCAGCAGCGATAATTACCCTTTCCTTTCTATTATTATGTTACACCAACTACAGTTTATCATTCTCAATGACAACTTTTAACACTTAATCTTTCTTTTTTCCCCTTTTTTCCATTCATTTTAATCATCCCAGGTAACATGAAGTAGATAACATCAAGAAATTGAAAGAATTGCCAAATGCATTATTCCACCTTCCTTGAAGCTTCCATTTGGTTAACTCCTTTTTATACCTTTTTCATTTCTCAATCTGTTGATGGCGATGATGATACAATGATGATGTTAATGGTAATATTTTTCCCCCAGATGATGAGCTTCTTGAACAGATAATGAATGCAAAATTTGAAAAGAAATAAACGAAACGCATTAGATAGCCCTGAACAACTAGTTCCGAAGAGTTTCCAACTGAACAACTGAATTCACGGCTTATGGACGATTCAAGGTTATCAGCTAATTTAAAGTTTCGCTTTTTTTACATATTCATATGAGGAAAACTATGATAATGGGTTATTCTTGTATCATGTATCTTCATAAGAATATCTTCTTCCAATATCAAGGATGAAATTATTCAAAGCCTCCACCTTTATCATCATCATCATCATCATTGTTTCTCAACTTTACATATCTTCCATCTCCATTGTATTATGTAAATTAATACCTCTCTTTAACCCTCTCCATTCATTTCCATACATTTAATTGTCTCTTTAAAATTGCATTGATTTGAAATGGGCAACAAATTGACCATCAAACCCTTCTAAAGGTTGATTTTAATTTCAAACTAATCTTTTGTTTTTTGTTTATTCTCAACCAGAATGGGCTCTCAGTGAGATCAGAGTTGGTAAACAGTCAATTACTGAAGCATTTAATACGCAACCTTTTGAAGGTAATCCATTATGTGCAAAGAAAGAGTTGAGTAAACGCAATTTCAATGGCAATGATTTGATTCCTTGTAAAGTAAGTGTTACATTGTACCTGACTTAATGTTTCACTAACCAACTAATGGACCAAGTTGAGCAAAGCTGCGAGTCAACCTTGAAAAAATTTCAAATATTTCTAACCCTTTCCAACTGATTACAAATGAAAGCAAATTGTCAATACAAGAATGTATCAACAATTTTCCAATATTACAAAAATTCAACTCTCATATTGATTACGCAGTTTCCATGTTGCTGTTATATTGGTAAAGCACTCATGAAATATGACAACTTTTTTGTTTGACTGTATCAAATACCAATCTAGTTGAAGCCAGGATGAAATTTTATCAAGGTTAATTCAACCCACAGTTGATTCAGATTTTAATTTTTTTCCTTCTCTTGCTGGTTAATTCATTTAATTTACTTTTTCCTCTCTTTTTTTCTCTGTCATGAGAGAACTATCATGTAAAGTACATTACATGATATTTAGTTAACCCTTGAAGCTAAATTTATCACGCAAATAATCAATTTAGTGTCAGAGAGAAAAAAAAATGTTTTTCAATCAAGTTTAGCTCATCTTGATGTTAACTTTGATTCAACTCACAGTTTACTGCAATTGAAACTTTCACCATTGGTTGACGATAAAAACCAAGTGTTTATTTTTCTAAGCAATTTTACTTTTGTTAATTTATTTTCTACATGATAATAATCATTAAGTAAATACAGATAATCATGAGTCAAACAATTATACTGATTTTGATTTTCTATTTTTTTCCCATTAGCCGTGCCCACTAGCTGGACGTTATGTGGTTATTCAAAAGCATCCTTCTCGAAATGATTACCAATTATCATCAGATGCCATTCAAATATTTGGATTTTAAACTTGCTCATCATTGAAATAGCATAGATTGGATAATAAGCACAGATGGAAATGGTTTTATTTACCAGAATAACATGAATTACTCAAGAATGAAAACACTGGAACACAAATTAATGGGAAACAGCAAAATGTTACAAAAGACAAAGGCTAATGCTAAAAATAAGCTGACCTCTGCGATTTTGCTTGTCACCTTCAAGTAGCTGTAAATTTAGCAAATTTCAAGATTAAATTAAAGCATTTAATTTATCTTTTTTATTGAATTTGTTGTTTCAAAAATAAAGACTTGAAACGTTTGGTGAACTCGGTGATAAAATGATGGCAATTTAATAATTTCATGGAAATAGGAAATATTTTTTCTTTTAATACAATTGATCAATTTTTGCGGCTATAAATGGTTATAACCAAAAAATTAGATTACAGTAAGCAAAAGAATGGATAACAATCCAAATTGGTTGGAATGAAATGGAAAAGGCAATCGACAATTACAATTTGGTTATCAATTTGGATTACATTTGATAAATCTCCAACGAATCCGGAATCTAAATTAAGTGTCTCATTTGGGTTGATCAGTTTTAAACTCATTTCTGTTGTCGTTTATCCTGATGTTTAAACAGTGATGGTTATCACATATTGTTGGAAAAGGGAATCAATGATGACGATGAGAATGGTGAATAGAAGAATAAGAAGATAAAAAGATGATGGATATGATGATAATGGTGATGGTGAAGCAAAATGAAATGAAACAATGAAGATGAATTGTGAATAAACGCTTTGGTCCAAGGTTACAAGTTAACAATTAATGGAGAGGATAAATGTTAATTAATATTGCGATATCCTTTTCAAGTGTTGCTAGTCATTGCTTGTGTCATCAAGTTTAACAAAACAAAAGCTGACAAAACAGAGCGAGTTTAATGGTGATTGTGTTGGACAATAATTATGGATACAACGTTGAGATCGGCATCGGATGTATGGGCAGTGCAATCAGTGGTTGTTGTTTATATTACACAACCAGCTAACCACACTGCCACACATCGCAACCATTGTGGATAAAGAAAAGTACAAAAAGAGCAGATTTGGTGACAGTAATCATTTGGAGGAAAAGTATAAGCGAAGGATTTGGCTACAATTGTTACGATCCAATGGCGTTAGTTGCAAGAAAAGGGAAAGATTTTAAATTTAATAATTTATTATTCAATTGAACCAAAAGGATTACAAAAAGATAAAAGGTTAACCAAATTAAATTAACGAGCAAGGATTTGATTTTACCATTTACTGTGAACATTGATTGTATCGATTAATGGCAATAAACGATTGAAATGGTTGCCAGTTTAAAAAAAACATTATTTACTCAACCTTTGATAACATCTGAGACTGTTTATTTGATACTAAAAGGCTGCTCAGGATAATTAAATTAACCCAATCCTGATTTACTTGATTCACTGGAAACTAAATCTTTCCAAGATTCAATCAACTTTAATTATGTTTCAACTTTGCTTTTATGCCCACGTTTAATTTGTCACTAGATTTGGGTTCATTTTTTTTGGGTTAACCTAAACTTGAATGTTCATTTTGTATTCTTTGTTGCCATTTTTAAATGTATTTTCTCGTATTTAATCAATGATTCTGATTAATAGTTACACTCATTTTAATCGATAAACCATTTTGTTCAATCAGTTTAGATCATTTCCCTTCTCAATTATTAATAGTTGACTATTTGGTTGGTTGAAGGTACAATTGTTTCAATGTTCACCAGTTATTGTAATCATTTCAGCAATCACTTGACTCTAACTGATATTACTAAATCAAATGAATCAATATTATAAATTTTATTTGTTATTTCAATTGGGAAGACAATGGATCAATGATTTTAGTAGGTTAACAATTATCACCTTGATAATAATTGAAACTAGAAATTGAAAAGGACAAAGTTACTTTATTGATCAACTGTTAAGGTTTTATTAAGATTGGAATCAAAAATCATGTTTGAATTCATTGATTGGTTGCAATTTTTAATATTTTAAGAGTTATTAACCATTGATAATAATAAAACATTTGAAAGATATTCATTAAAAAACATGTTTAATCGGTTAATTGTTGACAAAACGTTTACATATTCAAATAAAGAAAACTGTTTAAAGTTGATTAAAATGTCAATAGATTGCGCCCCAAACTAATGCATTTACATTTTGTTAATTCAATTGTTTATTGTAAAACGCATATTTGAGACGTAATTGATCAACATTGTCACCATTAATTAAAAATGTCAATCAGCAAATAATTTAAAAACGGGTAAATTAGGCAAATTTATAAGTCAAGCCTCCAAGCTGAATATTAAACCAACATGAGAAGACCAGAAAAAGCTGAGAAGGAAAAAATGGATTTGAAACATGCAACGAAAATTGGGTAAGAAAACGATTTTTTCAAAGACATCTAACATGTAAGACTCGACTTTTTATATCATTGATGTACAAATATAGACTTAATTTTCATTTATAACGTGATTGACAGGTAGCAATAGAGATCAACAAGTGAACGGAGGAAAAAGAGGAAAAACCGATGAATGGAAAGGACTTGTAAAGGACATTTGAACCAAACATGAAATGCGAGTGCAGAGTTGGCAACAAAATCTCATTTCATCCACTTTCTACTTTTATAATCATCATCTCATCATCATCTTAATGTTACAACTAAATGGTTATATAACTTGGCTTCCAATTATGTCAACAACAAGCTTAAGTCAACGTAGATAAAGGGTGTTAAGGTTTATTTCTTGCAAAGTAGGAAAAGGTTAAAGCGATCTTATCTGAAGATAAAGATAAAAATGGTAATAACATGACGATAAATATGAATTGGTCACTTGCATTTGCTTGGGTATTTTGATTAACCTTTTACTTTTGTGATTTCATCTTTATCTTCAGATAATATCGTTTCTCTCCCCCTGTTTTTGCAAGAAATAAACCTTAACACCCTTTAGTTGAACACCAAAGGGGTTAAGGAAAAGGTCTTGAGTCCTTTGTCACAATTGGCAGCAATTTTCAGCCATCTCAGTTGACCTGTAAACTAATGATTGACTCTAATTGTGAGGGCTAAAGATTGAGCTTTCTGACTGCAAAGGAATTGTTCAGAGGAAGAAAAAAATCTAAGCAAAAGCAAGTTTACATTTATTCTTATTTTTTATCCTTATTTACCTTTACTTGTCTTGCTCTTCTCTCATCCTCCTCCTTCCCTTCCTTCCTCCTCCTTTTCATCGTCTTCATCTTTATACTTGTAACCCATATAATGCATATTAAAACCACCTACTCAAATTGGTTACATGAAAATCTAATGGACTTGAGCTAAAAAACGATTCTCTTGATGACGAACTTCAAGTTACTATGGAAACTCAGAACTTGACTTTCTAGGTTTTCATGGCAACTCATTTTCTTTCTCCTTTTATCATCAAACTTTTCAATTTACTCTATATTTAACCATTTTTTCACTTTCCTCATCAATAATTAATTTTTTGTTTTTACAGTTTTCTAAACACTTGGTTATGGTGGAAAAAAACTAGCAAGTTAACAGGAAAAAAAAGGTTCAACATGAGACAGAATTGGATGAAATAAAAGGATTGATTGGGAAACAGAGAAACAATAATTTGCTTTTTCCTCAAGGTTTATCCTCAATTTTGTTCGTTGATTCACACACCAAAGCAAATTGACAATCGACTGACTTATCAAAGAGGATGTGTGACTGTTGATTATGAAGCGACTGACAACAAACAAACAAAAAAGACTCAAAAAGAGGGAACAAAAGGTTCATTTGAAAAAAAATGGCAATCAATTGAACAATATTTAAACACGGTGAAAGCACAATCTAATCAACAATTTATCTAGCTCAACTATACCAGCATTCAGTTTAACCATGTTGTCAACCATATGAACAGATAACGGTTGAATGGAAGGTGGAAAAAAATATCTAAACGATAATTTGAATGGATAATGCAATGATAGCTGTAAGAGTCACAGGAAACAGGAAAAAAAGAAACTTTTGGTGTCAACTAAAACTGGAAACAAGAGCAGGGAACAGATGAAAAGCCCATGAATAATGGTTATGGAGGTTAAAATGGATACAATAACAGCGACCACAAATGGACAAATTAAAGGATCACCAGAAGAAAAAAAGTGAACCAACAATCAGAACAGATGAAAACAATAATGAAGATATGAATTGGATTTTGGAATTTTTCAAGGTTGAAGGTTAAAAAAAGCAGGTTAATCGAAGCAACAAGTTGATTTGGCGTTTTTGGCTGCTGTTGTTGAGTCGACAAGTTTGGACACCAAATGGTTTACCAGGGTTAACATTTGTAAATAACAAATGGTTTTAGTTCAAAGGGGATGAATTTGGTTTACCTGAAAACTCAATCAAAATTATCATTATTCTCATTAAGCATTATTTGAAAAACAAAAATACGCAAGATACTTGTCAAGGGGCTATTTGAGAAAGGTTAACTGAGATACCACCAGCTGTGTTCACCCAATATAATAACAATTAAGATGTGAGCCCAGCGTGGTACCCAGCAAACCATTTCCCTTTTCATTAATTAACATGAAAATTCAATCGTCATTCAACATGAAAATTTAAATCGATTCCATCAAAGGAGAAGGATTGACAAAAAGAAGCAAAAATATTGAAACTGGATTCATATTCAAAGATTAGTATTGTTAATCAAAGGACTGGATGGATGGTAAAGGAGGGCCAAATGGGTGGACACATGAGGCTCAAGAGGCTCAGAGTGAGTATGAGTTTGCAAGAAATTGATTAATTTAATAATAATGAGTGTGTTTTTTATATTCAACCTTTAATCCAATGATTTATGGTTTTTTTTGTTTCTCCTGTTTTTTTAAACCTCACGGCATTATCAACAAACTTAATCAACTTCATTTTTAGTGGGAATTTTCAGATTGAGCGAAAGTTGAAACAATGGGAAGACAAAGAAGTACAAAGACAGAAACAAAGAAAGGATTGAAAGGTAAAAAAAGATGAAAAAAAGAGGTTTTCTCTTCCTTTCATCTTCTCTATAAATGGGTTTACCAAGTTTAATGTCAAAGGTTATTGGGTAAGTGGTTTACCAATTTCATGTTCAAAACGTTTTCATCATGGTGGTTTCATGAGACTTGCTCGATCTACTCAAGTATGGAAAGCAAAGAGAATAGAGTAAATTAACCAGAAAAACCAGATTTCGAACCGAGAAGGAGAAAAAAGTTAACCCGAATTTTTCCAGGGGAAAAAGGCTGTTCGTAGAAGACAAAAAGAGACAAAAAAAAGGGAAAACATAAAACATCAAGACAAGTTCAACTCGGAATCATCATTATCAGAAATCATCATGATCGTCATTAAATGAACACTTGTAGGCAAATCCATCAACACAATTACTGGAAGCCAAACCAGACTGAAAGAAGCAAAACTTTACATTGAACATGATCATCGCCGAATGACGAAACTGAATCACTTTGGATAGTTTGGATGGGAAAAGAAAGACTGGGACAGCAAATGAAAGAGGAAACTGAATGTTGGCGACGCACAAATGATGACGAAAAAATTTACTAATGAAACTGATCGAAATAAATTAACAAAGGAAGTCGACTTTATATATATGTATTGATGCAGGGTGAGAGACAGAGTGGCAAACTGATTATCATGATGACAGAGAGAAGATGAATGTGAAAAGATAAATGTTGTGAAAAAAAGGCAACAAAGTTGAGGGTGGTTTTTTGTTCTTCTGGTTCTTGATGTTTTATTTGAAGGAGTTGAAACAATGGTAATCACCATGTAATCATCATTTTACACAGACAACACTTGATCGTTTCAATCTCATCTTTATCATGGAAATCATCATAAACAGTTGACAATCATCTGGGACATTTTATCAGGTTGAGGCGTTCAACATAACAAAACAATGTTTTAATCATTCCTGTTAATTGTAAACCAATGTTTTATCCCAATTTGGAATCAAGTGGAAGGCGTTTTTTATTTCTCTATTTCTCTCTCTTTGCCCTGTTTAACCATTAACTTATTGTTAATTAATCTGATAGTTAATCTAATTGGAATGAGTGAATTCTGTTGGATGAGCTGAAAAAATTGAGATTTTTATCAAGAAATACAAGATGGTTGAAATTGTGTTTGTTTGCTTTTTTGGTTTCCACTTTGACCTTTTTCATTGTTTCACAGTCATCTCAATTGATTAGTTTGATCAATTCAGTTTATCATTTCTTTTTATTACATGGGCAAAGTTTTTTTTTCATGGGAAAGTGGATATTGTTAGATAAGATGAGACAATTGTTGAGTGTTTCAGTTGTGTTTTTACTGCTATTGTTTGAAACAATTGATTCACCTGATCACGAAATTTAATTTCATTCAAAGTAGAGCAATCATCAGTTGTTTCATTTGATTAATAGATTTAACCAGATAATTGGCTTTATCAAAGAGGAACAGTTTTGATTGTTAACATTGATAATTGTTTGGATATTTAAGTAAGAGTAAACAGTTGGCTTGTTGTTATTTCATGTTCATCAATTGTAATGATTAGTTTAGATTGAAAAGTAATGTAACCCAATGAGAAACCCAAAAAATAAACCTGAAAACCTAAAAACCTAAAACTTACCAAAAATCAATGTAAAATTGTTTTTTATATTTCATTTAAACATGAAAACCCAAAAAAACTATGGATTGACAATTTGTGACTTTAATCAACAGTTAAACAGTTTTTTACTCGTTTTGTCAACAATTAATAACCAATCAATATGTTTGAATCAATTGATTGTAACGAAAGGTTTGTAATGAAAAAAAGATGTTAACATTAACTACGTAGTTAATGGAAAGAAAGAGAAGAAAGATAAATGTAAAGGGAAAAGTAAAGATCAAGTCTTTTACTTACCAGTTTTTTTGGCTTGTTGAGTTTTTCATAGAGTTGCAAGTTGTAACAATTAACATGATGAAAATTGAAGGTTAAGGTTGAAAGGTAAATATTAAAGGTCAACTCATTTCGCTCTTTCTTTTCTCCTTTCTTTCTATTTTTTCATCTCTTTCTTCTCTCTCTCCAAAATTAGATGAGTGGTGATTTTATGATAAATGTTGGTGTAGTGACAATGTTCAGGTAAGATTGATTTTGGTTGATTGGGTTTGTTTGTGTTTTTTGCGGTCAAAATTTTTAACCATTTAAAGGTGAAATTATCGATGATATTGATTATTGACAATCTGTTGTGATTGTTGTCAATTGATAAAAATGCTGGGAAAGATTATCAGCAATTCGGGGGGTTGATTGAGAAGAATGGAAAAGAAGTGAATAAATGAAAACAAAAGGTAAAAATGCGATGTTGAGCGGTGATATTGTTGATGGTGACAAGCTTCGCAATTGGACGTAATTCGGTTCTCACTCTTAACTAATATCAACTTTAATTCCAACGAAACTACGCACCAAATGAACAATTCTACGCATTATCCTATTGTTAACGCCACCAGAACCAGAAGAGTGAGTGAGTGAGTTAGACAGAGGGCTGGAGTGAGAGAGATAAAGGAGGGAAGAAGAAAAGTGGTAAAAGAGAGGAAAGAAAATGAAGATAACTCTTTACATTTTCTCTTTCATTTTTTTCTCTCTCTCTATTTTCCAGTTTCATGATATAATGAGAAACGCAGAAAGAGCACTGAAAGGATCGGGTTAAGAGGGAAAAGAAAGAAAAGCAAAGAGAGAGAAAGATGATGAAAAGAGAAAGGTAAGTTTTCTCATCGTCTTATTACAAGTTATTGGTAATTCGTAGGCTACAAGTTACAATAGCTATAAACATGGTTTTTATCAGAAACGTCAGGATGACGATGATGATGATGATGATGATGATGATGAAGATGATGTTTTCGGCTAATGTCACATAAAGTAATCTTGTTTATCAGAGAGTCACACACCCTTTCCATTCCTCCTGGTAGACTCACTTTTACTCCTTTGATAATCATCCTGGTTGATGATGCTTTCGTATCTATGGATACATTCTGTGTGTCTATGGAGTTAGTTATAAGTGAGTTTATTGAGAGAGGCAAGGATATACCTTGACCTATTGACCATCAAAAAAAAAGAGGTGCGCATCAATAGACGATTTATATATCCATGTGTGTATAAATATTAAGTTGAACTTATCGATTTTATACTTGAACAAAGTAAACTCTTCTCCTTCTGCTCCTTGTAATCCAATGGTTATTTTTACATCCAAACTTTACATTTATTCAATAACAAGATGAGACGTCTCGCGATCATGATAATCATGGTTGATGATTCAGTCTACCAGGAAGCTTTAAAATCAATATAATTATCCAAAGATATTGGGTTAAACATTCATTTTTGTCGAGTCTCCTTATCTTTTTTTTGTTGTCAACAGCAATTTCAATTTATTTTTTTTCTCTCCAATTTCACGTTTGTTTATAATTATCATTTGTCTTCAACTTGAAACTGTAAACATTTATAAATTAAAAAAACTCAGTTTGGTTGAGATATCGATTGAAATTCAATATCATTTTCAAAGACATTTTTACGTTATTTTTACTCTTTCGTCTGCCTTAACATCTGTCTGCACTTTAGACATTAAAAAATGAAATTATTTTCTTTTTCGATTAATCGATTGGCTTTCCTACTATCAATTCAATTGACTATTTATCATATATATTATGAATTGTGAGTGTTACCATGAACATCATGGTGACCTTGAAATGTATAGTTTTCTTTTTTGTTTCTCCTTTCCTTTCTGTGTATACAGAAAAATTAATATGAAATCTGAATTAACAATCAATCAACAAATCACCAAATTAATCATTGACAAATAATCACTTCTTTTCAGCTTTTTTTTTCATACTTCGCCTTATTTTCCTAGATCATTGATAAATATTGACGGTACATCATTGAATTGCTTTAATCATCATCACATCCTTTATCCTTCATCATCAACATTTCCATAGGAACAACGAGTGTAATCAATTTTGAGCAAAATTATACAATTTTCTTGCTTTTTCCAACAATTTCCATCATCTTCCAGTGATTTAAACACAAGACAAAAACAGAACCAAGGCTTGCTGGTTTACAGACCCAGTACAACGAACCTTAACTGGTGTTAGTGCATAATTTACCAACAATGGGTTTCCAAGTTTAACCATTTCAATTATTTGGGAATTAAGTTCACCTTTACCTTGTACTTGGCAACTAATGGCATGAATATTCAAGGTTAATCCTTTGAATATGAAAAAAAAACAAATTAGTCTATCAAATTAAACTATTGCAGCAAACAATCAGTTAGCTTATTCTGCTTGTCAAAAATGTTGGAAATACATGAACGGTGAGAGGAAAATCTGAAATTGAACTATTGAATCTTGGAGATTGAACGATCGATAAAAGATCCTTGTAACGTCCTCAACCAGGCAAAGAAACTTGTATTTACTGTTTCCAGTTTTGACCTTCGATTTATTATTATTGGCATTATTATATTATTTCTTGTAAATTCATTGCATCCATTTTGTTTCTTAAAGGCTCATCTTTATCCATTTCAGAATGGTTCCAGAAAGCCTCATGTTGCTCCAACCATAGGCTTAAGTTTACTTCAATGTGCGTATTACTTTCAAATGGACAGCCCTGATTTAGGAATTGAAATGAATGGATATGGTTCAGGATGAAAAAAACGAGACAAATGATTAACCAATTGTTTACTGTGCCTGAGCAAATAGCGCAATACAAAAGGAAACCAGATTTTATAATAATAACGATGACGATGGTTGTGATTATGATGATGATGATGATCAAAATGATGAAGATGATAAAGACAAACACGAAGAGAAAGAGTTAAAGGCTCGTAACGAGCCAACGTAAATGTTTATAATTATGAGAATAAGTTGTATTGTTGTTAACTCGTTGGCCCTGAATTTTCAACCCAAGGTTATTTCAAGAAAAAAAAGAGAAAAATTATTCTCAATGTAGGAGAAAAAAAGGGTTTACATGAGAAGATGAGGAAAAAGATGTTTCTTCTTCTTCTTCTTCTTGCTTCTTATTTTTACCAGTTTCAGCCTTTCTTTACAGAATTCTGGTTCCATGGTTACTGAAAAATTCAGAGTTGATGAGCCATCACAACAATAAACAACAAAGTGAAAGAAAGAAAAAGAAAGATAAAGATGAATGGGTGTGGTGTATGAGCACTGATGGAACTGAGAATGTGTACGATTCAGAACTTTCACTAAAAATGAAATATTAATGGGAAAAAAATGAACCACTGGTTACTCGGTGTTTATTTTTTCCCCTTCATCTTAACCTCTTCATTTTACCCTTTTCTAATATTGATATTAACAATGCAAAAGTGCTCATAATAATAATAATAGTAATGATGATGATGATAATTATAGTCATGATGAGGTTGAAATTCTTGTTCAACTAAATATGTTCAACCAAGTGAATGGAATGAATTTTTTGTGTCCAGTAAATAAAAAAAAAGAGTAAACCCTAAAAAAGCTAATTATCATGGCCAGCGATTAGATTAACGACCCTGTAACCTTGATTTAGGCTCGATTCTTTTCTCTCTTTACCTTTTCTTCATATCATTATTATTATCATCATCATGATTTGTTCAGTTCTTTAGCTTTTCTCCTAGCCAGGTTATCTTGAGTAATTCTGTTTTTTTTCTTTTCTCCTTTGCTTTAATTTTTTCAAAGTCCATTTTCACTTTTAACCCTTTTCTTTGTTCCAACTTTTCATGTCTGTCTGCTTATCATCATCATGAACATTTTTTACATCTCCTTTGTAGACTCCCGTCATCATTGAAATGCTTCAGCTTTACTTTTCCAATTCCACTTTTTTCGCTTTCACCAAAAATTCTCAACTTAACCAGTCCAACCTGAAATTGAGACAAAAAGCAAGATACATTAGTTGAACAGCAAAAAATGAAACAGAGATAATTTTTGATGAAATTTAATCATTTTGACTTGATTGATATTTGACGGCTTTAAAAGCTTTTCATCTTCTTTACCAATCATTTACAACATGATAAGCTTTTGATGTGAATGAAAAAAGCTCAATAGTAAAAGCTATTCAATGAGATGAATCTTAGATGATCCAAACTTGCCATCTGAGTAAACTTGTCCTTACTTGTTGGATATTTTCATCTGGAAATGATCAGATAATTCCATTGGCAGAAAAGAGGGTTTCTTCACAATTCTGCTTTCAGGCATCATGTCAATCGATTGGCTGTATTAAAAATTGAAAATGAAAAGGTTGGTTGAAAAATGGTGCATATTGATTGGATAAACTTGAGATTTGATACATGCATTGTCGTCTTGTTATTCCTGTCTTTGTGTCAAATACTTTTTGTCAAATATTAAAATTGATAACTTGCAAACGGGTTAATTATTCATAAATGTTGAGATGTAAAAGTATATGAATATGACTGAAGGAAATATTCAGCTAAAGTGAATGGAAAAGACTGGAATATTTTGTTACAAGTAATAATTGATATTCAACAGTCTAATAATTTCAAGTTTCAACTTGGCTCTTGTTTTGTTGTGGTTACAGAATTGGTTAGGTTGAGTTAAAGCTGATTACAATGTCATGGCCTTGCAATTGATTGTTAAAGGACAACAATTGAGTATAAATTAATCATCATTGGGCTCAATTATAAATTTAATGAACACAAAAAAAAGTGGAAACTGATTGACAACAGTTCATTTGTGAAAACAACAAAGCTGTATGTAATCAGTAGTTTAAACCATGTGTGTCAATATTTCTTTTTCCCCCATTCACTCATTCCAATCTGATCTTTGATCAATAAGATAAACTGCAGAGTCAGAATGAAATTGAATCTGTTACATGGTTACATTGAAAGATCCAACAGTTAATGTCGTTTGCTGCTTACCTGAAAATTCAAAAAAACAAATTGAAAACAATCTTGATTTTTGGTTCACTTTTTGTTGATGTTTTGAGGTAACCATTGAGCAATAAAGTGATTTGGGATTCCGACGATTTCATTTCTTTCATTAGATTTGTCCTCCTGAGCTGAAACCATTCAACGAATCCATCGGTCCTTTGAAAGCCAAGACCTAATGCAAGTTAAACAAATGATTAGTATCCTTTCTCGGTGGTTCATGGCGAATGTCACTTGACTCAGATAAATATGCTGACAAAATCTTGAATGTGTTTTTCCCTTACACTTGTATTATGAAAAATATTAGCAAAGTGATTTCTCTATTAATCAAATATGATTAGCTTGATACATAAATCATGCCTTGGGCCATCGTCATTATTAAGGTGACTATTGAGGTTGGTGATCATTTAAAGGGCCTCAAATATTGATAACGGCCTCAATTTATCTGAATTAGTGTCGAAAATATGATTCAATTACTTTTATCTGAAATATCATCTTCAGCCAATTACCAGAAATTTAAAGTACCATATGGCGATAATTTTGTTCACAAGCAGTGTCATCATGGCAGCTTTGTTTGAGTATTCCGTTGCTTCGATCGATGTGGCCTCTCACAGAGCATTTCCCAAACACTTTTAGCTGAAATTTACATTGAAAGAAAAAAATGAATTTGAATTAGTTAGTTTCTCGGAAATGGTTGGCTCTTCTAGCGAATGGCACTCTTTTGCTCAAATTATTCATAATTTTAAAAGCACACCTATTAAATGAGGCGACATTGACATGTTTAACTGTCGAATCTATTAGTTAATGTTGAATCGAGTCTAAAATTTATTTGTCTTTTCCAGGGAAAAAATTTGCATCATTGAAATATCTCTGAAAACCAGTTTGAATGATTAGACTTTGTAATCAGCAGACTAATTTATTGCTCAGTTTCTAGATGTTTAAATTGCCCAATAAACTGGTTGTAGACCAGTTTACAATAACATTATTACAATCACCAGAAACACCAGAAACAGCAAAAGCTTAAAAAGACTGTAACAAGAAAAGGCAAACAAATGTAAGATGTAATGAAAACAAATCAACTTACCTATTACAATGGATGACATGGTTAACACCTTTCATAACAGTTGTCAATCAACAGTGGCATAAATTAGGCTAATTAGAAGTCAAAAGCCAGTAAATTAGTAAATTAAAATCTTAAAATAGCAACCCAGTAATTAATCAAGAGTAAAAGTAAAACAATAATAAGCTCAATGGCATAATCTGTTTAATTTTATTTCTTCACCTTCATTACTGGATTATGGATACTGATATCTAATGCAAGATACTCGATAAGGAGAGCAAATCCAAATGGATACAATAAGATGTACGGTGAAACCTAATGAGCAAATTAAGATGACTGAACATGAATTAAGATGAGATAATACACTAATAGTGAAACTTGTTCATTTGCAACTGAAAACTCGAGGGTCCAACAAAATTAGATTCTGAGTCACTTAAACCGAAGGTATAAAAGGTTCAATTTAACCTTCCATGACAATTGACTGAACTTTAAAGTTTTTTGGGTTCCTTTTATTTCGATCCCAGGTTTTACTTTCATAAATAGTTTCCTCATATTCAAATTATACTTGAATTTCAGATCTCTAATCTAATAATAAACTCAAGTTTAATTTACGGAAAGACTTTTCAAGACAATCAATCGATAATTTGATTTAATGAGTGTAAACAATTTTCCCATGGAAGATTAAATCTTATAATCCACTAATTGAGTTAATTGGTATTCAAAAGATTTTTGTAAAGTTAAAGGATCCAAACTGCAATCAAAGGGTCTTAAATTGTTGTTTAAATCACAACTGAATGATCTTGCAATTGAAGCAAAAATTAATTTTTTGTCGATTACCAGAAACTTTTGCCATCTACCGTCCGAAAACCAAACTAATGTTGCCGGCTTTTCTCATAGAAATGTTTAATTGTGCTTATTTGTGTTTTCAAGATTTTCAACTCGTCCGATGGTGCAGTTGATGTTACGAGCTCAGTGATAGAAAAAGTTCGAAATGTAAAATGATCGCGTGAAAAAGCGGTTATTAATTTATAGCCATGAGTGTAGAAGTAAAATTTGAACATTTGAAATAAACTAATCATAACAGAAAATTGAATGAAAAATTATGCAATACAGTTAATGATCGGTTAGAAAATTGGATGTAAGTTGGTGTGCCCTAAATGCTCACATATTGAATTCTTGGATTGAAAAGTAGAAGATAGACGATAGGAAATAGTTTATTGTTTAACTAAGGCAAGTGTCTACAATTTACATAAGAAAAATGCATTTAACTTCAAGTATTAAGAAATATCTCGTAATTATATCTCATTTTGTCATCGACAAACTAAGGTTTTTGAAATCAGTAAATCTTGTTGAACAACAATGGACAATGTTGAATTGACTTGAATTTGCTTAACTGCCACAAAAAATTGTCAATTTTATTGTTATACAAATTGGCATATTATAAACCCAATACATTATAAAGTCCAATATTTACATTTTAACAATCAGTCTCATACTATTGGACATTTCCTCATCTCTTTTCCTTTTCAGAGCTCGGTAATATATATGAAATGTACAATGGCCGAGTACAATAAAATCTTATGAACTTTATCTACTTTTTTCGTGTTGTCTATTTTAAAATCGTCAAATTCATCATCCTTGTACCTGATTGGCAACAAGTACGCTCAAGATCATTCAAGATCAATTGGCTTACTTCTTATTGACATTGAAAGATCATTTTCTGAAACCGAAAATTCTTCCAATCGGTGCATGTCATGACTTTCGCCAACATAAAAGACTTTGTTCAAATAAGCAATTGATCAAAGCAAAATCACTCATATCCTTTAGCCAGTATGAGTTATGAACATCTATCATTAATCGATCTGAAAAACTTTACAATTCCAGAAAATGACTTTCCAATGTCAATTAGAGGTGAAATAAAGAATTGACCTTGAATGACCTCGAACTCATATTTCTTCAATCTACATAAACTAATGGTTCAATTTTGAGGTCTGTAGCATTACATTTCGTGATTTATCACAGTAACTAGGCGTAAAATTAAAAAACGCCCGGTATAACCATTAGAACCCGAGACGCCAATAGATTTACACTTTTTGATCAGGTCAGTGATGTCAATGGAAAACGCTTTTTCTCCCAATCTGTATAGATCTTTGTGCTCTTTTTAATGCAGATGAGCTCATTGTAAGCAACCTGGGGCGATGTCAAATATTTACTGTGAATGATCCAAAGGCATTTCTTGTTGCACGATTCCTCGATTTCAGATGAAAACATTTCGGCAAACTATGGAATTGCAGAGCACAAAATTGTTTTGTGAACACGAGATTCCTTACCTCTGTTATACATGATAAAATCACAAAACTTATCATACAGTGTTCTGGTTGGTGAACTCATTCTAGCCGTCTATTGTTTAGTACATCTAGTTGAGAAACAACCAGGTTGAAAACGCCATCATCTATGCAAAATAATCAGCTAATTGCAGCAATTTAGATTTATTTTAATTCGTTGTCTATATGCTTCTTTTATAAACCCAATCAATGATGATGTCCACTATTTCCATTGGATGATCAAGATTTGTTTCTTTGTTGCTTGATTTCTCGATTCCAGATGAAAAAATGTTGTCGAAATATGGCGATGGGCGGGATGGCCGAGAATAAGATTATTTTTGTGAAGATGATATTCCTTTCCTCTGTTATTCATGGTTGAATAACTGAATTTTTGATGTTGACCGAAGAAATGCATTCGCAAGAAATGCTTTGCGCATTCGACAAGACATAGCGTTATTAGTCCAAATACACTAAGAATAATTGGTTCAACTGAAGATATAACTAGAGATACTCTTTAAATTCATTTCACAAGCACAAAAACTTTTATCAACTGACAAAATACTGTTTCTCACAGTTTATACTGGGCGTTTTTCCCTGTACACCTGTTTGCAGACCAGAACATAAGTTTCCAAGCCCAAGGTTGTTCAAGGTCGACCCTTCATTTGACCTTTCAATGACATTAAAGATTATTTTTTTGAAGTGGAAACTCTTGGAGACTCTTTACATGTTCATAAGTTGGAGCACACAGTTCTGCACGCCTGAAAATGATCGAGTTTGGTGAAAATGGGTTTATCTTTCGAACAGTATGAGTTATGAACATGTAAAAAGTATCAACCAAATCTGAAAAAGGCTCCACTTTGAGAAAATGACTTAAATGTCATTTAGAAGTCAAATAACAGATTAACCTTGAATGACTTTGAGCTTTCGAACCATTTCTTTCCTATCTATCCACATTGTTTCTTTACGCAAAGTTTTTCATTAAAAAAATTGAAAAGTGATCTGGAAATGGGCAACTTTGCGTCACCCTCCTTGAATTGAAATATTCCTAACAGAGATTGATGTTTTGATGAAATAATGTGTTGTTTGATTGATGGTTGAAAGCTTCAGTTTCAAGTTCATTTGCAAGTTACTCACAAATTGTTAAAGTGCTGAGGCTACATATAATCAATAGATTATGAAAAACCATTTAAAACAAAGCAATCATTAAAGGAGCAAAAATTACCAGAAAACGTCTCTACTGCCATCTTTTGCTCAAAAAGTAAACAATTTAATAATATTTTTTGTCAATTGTCTTGATTTCTGGAAAATGCAAAAAGTCAAAAACCTTTGTATATCTTTTCAGATTGATTGATTTTCATGTATTTAATCACACTTAAGAATGTTTATATTCTCTGAATATTAAATTTAATCAAAAAATAACTTGTATCTATATGGATTTGTGAGTTAAATTTATCCTTTCTAAGCTGAAAGGTAATCAGACTAATCACAAACATTTGTTGCCTTTTCCAAATCAGCAATAATAACAATCCTTTGTAAACAAGCAATTTATTTCACCAAGTTAATCCATTTGATTATGTTTTATCCATACAATCTTTTCTCTTCATCTCAATCTACCATCTAAACTAAAGGTTTAATGAGTTCAATGAAAAAAACAACACAAAGTTTCATGTAAATCTCTTTACAATGAAGATTCCCCATACATTGTAATGTGCCAATACATGAAATGGTAAACAGAACAATAAAAGGACAAACTAACAAGCAAGTCTAATTTTCAATAATTATCATCTAAATAATTAATGCCATTTGATTATCCTTCACCAATTTACTCGATGCCCACGTTTCCATCAGATTTGATTATTAATCATTTTTAATCTCGACTCTTGAATCAAACTTGAAACTGGCAACCAAAGCTTTATTGGGTTAACCTTTTAACCAGAAAATTGACTTCAATTTATAACCAAAGTATAACTGAATCTGATTATTGCCAAGCAAAATGTCATTAAATGATTAAAGCTAGTAGGTGTTTGTAAACTTTACAATGTATTTATGATGTACTCAATGATCATCATCAATGATTACAGGGAACATGAAATCGAGTTTCATGGAAAGCCAGAAATGACAGAATCTGAAATACTTTAAATGTTGAAGGTAAATGTAAATTAATGAAAAGCATTTATTTGTCAAACAAAAAACAGTTTAAATAACAGATAATAAATATTACAATAAGAGCAAAAATTTTTATAAATTTTCCTTTTCCTCTGCATTTGGTTTACAATCAACAAATTGATTAATGACTCGACCCTTTTCAGCCATAACCCGACTCGTCTCTTCAGCAGTAAAAGTCAATGTAAGTCCAGTGCCGGCCATTTTTTCCTCGTAAATTTCATCAAAAATTTCCACTTGTCCCGGTGAAAAGTGTGACATCCAATCTCCAATCCTTCCAGATCTCATGAAGCTTTTACTTTGATTGTCAAACAATCCTTTGACTGGAACCTCGGATCGATTGACTGCCTTGTTTCGTTTCATGGTACTGAATGAACAGTGATTAATTATCTTGGGTAATGTTTCCTCCTTTACCGGTTTACCAAGAAACTCGCCAATTATTTTTACCATTTTAGCCAAATCCTGAAAAGGTAAATGTGAAAAGTTTAAAGGTCATTGAAAGATGAATTCAAAAGAAAGAGAGAACAACTTTTTTTACCCAAAAATTGCATCTTTGCGCAGAGAAGCAACTTCAATTAAAAATACAGTCCATCATGAAAGTTGGTGAAAGACAAGCAAACCATGGTTAATGGTCTTGATGATAATTTTGGTCAAACCTTGCGACTGTACTTGAGCTGCTTCTCGATGCGCAAAGAGGCAAAGTGTCGGTCAATCGATCAGTTAATAAGTATCAATATTTGTTCAACTTACAGTTTGCATTTCCTCGTATGTAATGACCAATATCTTGTCTGGATGTTTCTTTGCCTCTTCCCACCAAGTCTTTGTGTGGTCAAACCATGATCCATAGACAAGGTGACCCTGCAGATAGCATTCAAAAAATTTGTTCCAGGGATGCCTTTTACCTCCAAGGAAACCGGCAGTCTCATGGAAATGATAATACGAAACCAACTGATCTTTAGGATTCCTCAACACTAGAATAACCTGAAAAACAAACAAATTTTTCGTAAACATTTAGTCTTGAAACAAAAACATTGTCACTTGAACTTTAACTGTAACCCTCTTCAAATCCAATCTTGGTTCACCATCTTCATTTGGAATAATGAATAATTTAAAAATTCAGCTCACAATTCAAGGATAGACAACCATTTTGCTTGGCAAAAATAAATAATTCAAACCATATAAATGGACATCTGAAAGGTAAAGTTGGCCTTTCTTTTCAAATGATTACCTTTAAATCAATGCTCTTTACTCTGATTGTGAATCTCGAGCAGATTCAGAATAAATCATCATGAATGTGAATAAGCCTTCCTTTAAGCTCAACTCTATTTAGCAGTCAAATCTGTCTTACTTATTACAAATGTTAACCTAAATAAAGTATCATTTTACATGAAAAAGATACAATTGTAATGTAAAAATAATGATTTTGAGGAAACGAAAAGTCGAAGCAAAAACAAACAAAAAACGCTTACATTCATTAATGTATTAAAATGAATATCGTTGATAAGTAGCTCAATATTTGACTTGTGAGACTTTTCATGATGGAACTGGAAAAATCTCATTTGTTTCATCTCTTGCCATGTTTCATTTCAGCCAATTTTGATCATTAATTTCAATTGATAAAAGATGCAAAATTTGGTGAAAGTAAATATTGATCTTTGAAAATGAAAAATGTATTCGGATAACAAACCCAAACAAGATTAAGGTTTCAATTTTGCATCCATTTTAATTAACCATTTTCAATTGAATTTAATTAACAGAAATGATGAAAATTTTAATTGGAATAATTTAATCTTTACAGAAAAAAGTGCAAATGAAATATTAAAGCTTTTCTGGAAGAAGGTAACTCTTATGTTTCATCCTTTGATTAGACTCTGAATAGTCTCATGTGATTGGAATTAATTTCACTTGGAATTTGGATGAAACTTTTTTTTTGCTCTCGACCAAAACTGTTCTCGCATTAATATTGGCCAAGGAAATTGAAAGTTGATTCCAAGTTGGAGTTTGCGGCCGACTGAGTTCATGATGCAACTCTATGTTGCCCATGAAATTGGTTGACTTCAAATGTTATCATAGATAGTGAATCGGAAATTGTAAATCAATTTTGTAGTTTGGCCTTTATTAAGACCTTCAGAATTGGGTTTTTCATCAAAGTTGATTGATTGATCTTGAAACGAAACCGCAATGTTGAACTTTATTGGCTTATTTGCAAGTAATTTTTGACAATCCAATTATCTTTCAAGTGTTCCAACCAAATAATCAGACAAACATTTTCAAGAGGATCGACTCATGATTCAAGTCTGGAAACTTGTTGATTCCCTGAATATTCAATATTGCATCTGATCAATAACTGTAACAAAGCAATTAGTTTAACTGAAAACTTTGAAAATGAAATTTATAAACTTTGAAACTTTCAACGAAAAATAATCGATTTAAAAATCGATTCTGGAATTTCTATCAATCGATTTTTCGAGGTTCATTTGAGCTTTGATGAGTCGATGATTTATTTTGAAAATTGTGTATTCTACTATCATTTGGAATTTGAACATCAATTTGCATTGTTAATGTTTGGACTGGTAAAGGATTCGTTGTGGCGATATTTCCAACTGAATCGGTTCAACTCTTGAAATGATCATTAACTTCAGATAACGTCAGTTGGTTTTACTTGATTTTGTAAACAAAGTCATGCTTTAAATGAATGAAATCAATTTATCCAGAGTTTATCTCATGTTCAAGGTCTATTTCTGATCTTTTTCAACCTTGATTAAGTTGGTAAGCTCATTATCCGGAAAAAAATAGAATGTAAATTTGATTGATTTGAAACTAGTTATACAACATCAGAATAAACAATTGATTAAGACTAATCAACGATAAAACATTCACCGAAAAACTTTTCACACAAATGGATTCACGCAACTTTACTGAACCAACATTTCAACCATCAGAACTTATTCACGCTACGAATATCACTTCCCTGTTTTTCAAACTTATATTCCATTTTATTTTCGCTCAACTTAAGATCAATCATGAAAATTGAAAAAGTTCAATCAGAGACAAAAAAGAGAATCGATTTCAAATTCGATCTCGATCAATTGCAAAAATCGAATAGAGTTAACGATTAATCGCGAGGATATAAAACTAACTGCAAAAGACTAAACTCAATGTCAACGATTTACTTAAAGTCAATTTAAAGTTTATTTATCGATATTCATGGTGATACCTATCGATAAAATTACTCATGAGCATCACTAAAGTGGATAAGTTTTGTGGAGGAATGATTGATCAAAAGGAAAGGCAATCCATTTGCAAATAACCATTAAAGTTTATTTGCAATTTACAGTCGATTTACCAATAAAACCTTTCATTTTATTATTTTAATCATTACCATTGTCTAATCTAATCATGCACCACGTTTTTATTGTAATCAAAAGACAATAATGGCTCAAATAAACGAAACCATAGCTTGATAAACATGTTTTAATTGCTTACAATTTTGAGTCTAATTAAGATTATCAGTTGCATCTCAACGTTTTCCTTTGAGCTAATTAGAGTAAAAGAGTACAAATAATTGAATGCAATGAAGAAAACTTTCATTTCAAATGAGATTCTAATTGTTAATCTGTTCACTTGTCATGGTAAATTGATTGAACACAAAAAGACTGTCCATTCAGAAAAGAATCAGTTTATCAAAATGAACCCAATCAATTGAAGCATGCATCAAGCAATTTCAATCTCACGTTTATCATGAAAAAGGAAATTAGAAAAGGATTGTTTTCGTTGTGTTGAAGCAAACAGCTTTGAGTTTAGGTGAAAATTGAATGACGACTGAAGGAAGAAAAAGAAAAGCAGAATTTGGATTCAAATTTCAAACAGTTTAGTCCAGGATTTAATGATTAGATTCCAATTAGAGAAGGCAGAGTTGATTGATTCAATTATTTTTACATGTGAATCTTGTTAATTGCAAGTCTCTGTTGACATCGATTCATTATCTAAATTCCCAAATCAGATTCATGAAGATTGTTCATCCAAAAACACTCGACACTTTGCACTTGAATTGTGTTTTCCAATGAAAATGAAAAAGTGTTGAAAACTGTTGACGGAATTTCAATTTGACATCATGAAATATTATTCACTAAACAAATCAAATGAATTCCATTCAATTGATTAACCAACAATTAGATAATATCTAACAGGTAATTGATAATAATCTGAGGGAGAAAATGACTTTTTCCCGATTCTTCTTGTGACTAATGCAGAGAGGAAGATTTGAATTGCATCCTGGAAGTGATTAAATGTTTTATCAAACGCTAAACTCGGATTAACTGGTTAATCCGACGCTCGAAAGCCGATGGTAAACAAACTATTAAAGGCGCAAAAACGCATTGAAAGATCAACAATCTAGGGATCAATATACAGGAAAGCAAATTATCTAAACAGATTGAACGAAAACAATGAAACGTGATTATCTAACTTGGAGTTAATTTGATACCAGAAATGAGCAAGAATTATGATTGAAAAATGATCATCATTTGGGTTGGAAAATTGACACCATTTGATCCTCTGAACTTTTTGTTTTGGCAAATTTTCTGTCGAAATTTGTGGTTGAGAAATTTCGTCGAAATTTTTTTCTTCGAACATGTAAATTACGAAATTTTAGGTAAAGTTTTTGTGGAAATGTGTTTTGGTGTAAGTCAAGTTCAAGTGTTGATAAGGAATTCACATGCTTACCTTGCACTTCAAGTTTCTCAACTGTTTGGGACAGTATTGAAAGGGAAGGTGAGTGGCCAACAGTCTTGGTGAATCGAGTGTCTCAACGATGGACTCGTGACGGAAAGGAGCTCCAACCTCGAGGTGAACCACTCGCTCGTGTAGATCAATGGATAGGTAGGCTGGATCAGCATCAGATATGATACAACTGAGAACCTCTTCGGTCCAGGTTGTGCCTGACCGTGGGTAGGAGACTAGGAAAACATCTGCACTGTGAATGGTCAAGTCTTCCAGGTTGGAGAGAAACATTGGTGATATCATGTAACCCTGAAGGAGTAAACCTTTATAAAACTTGGCTTGAGGTATGGTTGATATATAATAGCGTCTCAAGGGATCCTTAATGTCTTCCAAGACATCTTTGGCTCGCTTAACGAGCTCATTGTTTTTATAAGGATCCTTAAAGTGGGTCCAAATGTTGGCAACCTCTTCAGTTAATAAAAATTTACCGATTGGATTAGAGTATAGAAAAGGTATCGAAACCTTTTTCACATATCTGTTCAGTCCTCGTGATTTGGTCATTTGTAGTTTGTTACCTTTCGATGTGCTTTTAGATATGCTTTTAATTCTTGGATTTTGTTGCTAGTTATTTGTCACTCTTGACACTTTTTTTCTTGCTCAATTAAAGGTTACCTGTACTTGAGTAGCCAAAATGGTTGGACAAAAGTTGACGGGATTAATGAGGTCACAAGAGATTAGTATAAAACCATTCAATAACAAACATTAAAGGTAGAGAAAAGTAAAATATCGAAAAATTTTTTACGTTTTTTTTGGTGATCAACACAAATGGCGTAATGACACTCTATGAAGGTTATAATTTACTTGAACACACAAATTACAAAACATTGATTCAATGGAAGTATAAAGACACTTTTTGTTTGGTTCATTGGTTGACTGGTAATTATGTTGTTGTTGTTGATCAAGATGATGGTAGTGATGAATGTGTTTGCCGATAATTTGGATGAACACAGGGTTGATGATGATTTGTTTTGAACAATAATTTGATGGAAAATTAATTTCTACTTTTACCAGCAACAAAAAAAATGTGAAGGCAAAATGAGGCAAAGTAGAAAAGCTAAATCAAGACTCGGAAAAGGTTGACGTTTGTAATATAAATTGACTCTTGTTTGTTGTACAATATTGAACCGTACTCTAGATACTCACAGCAATTAAGTAATCAAGTTATAACAATTGATGAACAATATTTATCATCATTGGCTCAATGAGATAGTGAGATGATAACGGCAAAAAGTGGGGAAAAAGTAAAGGCAAAAAAAATACAAAGGAAAAGACTAACCAGATTTATGGGTGAACCAGAAAAAAGATATGAGCTAAAAAGGATTTACCTGGCAACTGTTGGCTAGCTGATAATCAATTTGATTAGCATGTATAAATTGTTGCTTATCTATTGTGTTTACCCATTGTCATTATCTAAACCCAATAATCTGGTTAATCGGGTTTCATTTGTTTTGGTTCATGTTGGAAATGAAAAATTAACTGGAATCGATTAGTCGATGAAATTGAGTGCAACTTTGGACAAACAAACTTGCACAAAATGCTAATGTAATGCTGAGGTAATAAAGTTGATCAACTTTATCTCCACTTGAACATTAATTAATGTTCATTCAAGACTCTTCAGGTTTTCCTTCATTTTTCACTGTTTCTCACATCTTAATTGTGCTTAAAGTTTGCTTTAAAATTGAAGACAATTTTTTAATCATTAAACAATCTTTTTCGAGTCGAGTCTCAAGTCTATTTGGAAAACCTTTGAGCACTATTTTACCATTTTTCACCTTAATTGGAGGTAATTTAGTTATCATTGATTGTTACAAGGTTAAATTGTAATTGCAATTTGATTTGGAACAAATGAAGAAGAGAAGAAGAAAAAAGTTGAGATTCAAGACGAAAAAAAGTAATAGGAAAACAAGTGCATTTTGGTGACGATTATGATGATGTTGATTATGGTAATGATGTAAATTTACTTTTTGGGTGATAAATCATTTGAAGGTAATTAAGAATTTATGTTTAGAAGGTAAAAAGCAATTAATCAACTGTTGACTTTGTGTTTGCCATTCAGGTAAAATTGAATTTTCTGTTGAATTCCTTGATATACACTTTGATGCCCAGGTAAAAAGACATTTGTTTTGATTGACGCAAAGATACCTTTTAGTGATTGAAACAAAGTAAATATTGAAACTTGAAAGTTGACAAAATGTTGAATGTCAAAGGTTTTTTCATTGCTTAGTTGACCTTAGTAAATGATGAAAATGTAACCAACCAGTCGCCTGGAAAAAAAGAGTTCAATCAAAGTTATTAAATTATTATGTATCATGATGAGAAGAGGTTTGCTCAGTCCAGTCTTTGGAAACTAATCAAAGGGTTTAGTAAATAACCATTAAATTCGTGTTCAAATGATACAAATGTCCAGGAATTACCTGGGTTTTGCAGTTTACTTTTCCTTTTTTTTGGGCGATAATCAAATAACTGTACAATTGGAAAAGTTAACATTCTGTTGAAAGACATTTTACTTGTTGACAGAAAATCAGCATTTCTCTTTTCATGTATCAAATTAAATTAAATTGAGTTGCCATTTGAATAAAAAACTTTGCTATATTTAATTTTCAAGAATAAAAATGTTCACATTTTGACACTTTTTTCATTTAATTGTCTCGACTTTTAAATATTGTTGATAGTTTTGTCTATTTGTTTGTCACCTTTTATTAATTTTTTTCCGCTCTGAGTAAACATTATTATCGTTATTAAGTTTGTTACTTTTTCTGTCTTTAGTCTCATGGTGAATCCAAGTTGATGAAGGGATGAAAGTTGCTTCAACGTTTGCGCTTCCTTTCATTCCAATTGATAACTAAACATTACATGAGTTTCAAGTTGCATCTTTACATTACTTTCATCATCATTTTTGATTCATTTAGACCAATTAGGTTGAGACATTAAGACACGTTTCCAGGAAAGTTTACACAATGAATTGGACTGTTTGCTAATGTTAAGATATTCTGAAGTTCAGTTCTTGATTCAATATGGAAGTCATTTGTAGAGAAAAGTTTCATTCGGTTTATCCGAAGAAATTGATATGAAAGGGAAATTTAATTATTGTAATTATTCGAGGATTGCATATCAAGTCATTACATATGTAATTATCCAAGTTTCTGGTTTTTCTTGTCAACTGATGCTTGGGAAATTAGTCGATATCAAATCTTTTGAACAATAATCAGATTTTACACTTATGAAAGCTATCAAATTATGTTATTTCTTTATAAGAACTGGACAAATATTCAATGATAGTCACAGAATTTGCAGAAATCGATTGAACTAGAAATTGATCATTTTGTTTCATTGGAAATAGAGAAAGAAATCAAGATATGATAAGATGCAGCAATGAAATTATTTCATATCTAGTCACAGCTCTGAATTCAGTAGATAAACATAACTTATCAGTAAGCTCGGTGCAAAAGTATTTAGAAAATTCATTTTAATTATGAATCACGATTTGGCTGTATTTATGAGAATAGTGAGTACAACTTGAATGGATGATTCGGAGAATTGATTTGTGTGAAAAATTTTATATCAGCATTTCTTAACAATCAGTCATCTTATTTCAATAAAATAACAAATATAATGAAAAATACATGAAAAATAGCCATGAACAAGTTCATAATTTAATCAAGATGAAATGTTTATCAAGTATTCAGTTGTTGGTAAAGATTGGGCCGATTTCTCGATAAAGGCCCAAAACAGCCAAAGTCAAAACAGCCAAATACAAAGCTCCTTAAATCAAATAAAACTACTTAAATTATCAGATTTATTAGGGGTATCAAAAAGTACTTATGTTTTTTACCGCTGACTTTTGCTTCAATTTTGAATAAGTTTGACTTGATCAATTGACGCAATAATTTTAAGAACACAAGAACATCGATATAGATGTATGAAGACCATTTTTTAGCATATACAGTTCTGCGAACAACTTAATCATATAACTCAGAATAAGGTATTGTTTTCTTGTCCCCTGTTAATCCAAGGCAATCGATGAATGCAACTTATGTATTTTCCAAATATTAACTGTAGACGCTTGGTGACTTCGTCATTCAAAATTTTAGGTAATTTTATGCGATGAGCGAGGTCTTTTTCTTCATTCTTTCCATCTTTTTTAAAACTTTTATCCATTGAATACAGGATACAAAGAATGCATAGTATCATATAAACCCATAGATGGTAGTGTTTGTAGGGCATTTCAAGAACAACTTCGTCTAGATGGACATGTTCCAACCCGGGATCACGACGAGTTATGGTAAACAGGTCTTGCTTCCAATAGTAATTTAGTATCGCAGCTGCAGGTGTGTTAAAATTGATACGTTTGATTGCGCTTCCAAGCCCAACAAGATGAACGATGAAAATGGATAAAATTGCAAATGTCCACGTTGAATGGAGTTTCACATTTATTTAGATTGTGAAAATATGTATTAGAGGTCATTCAAGGTGAATTCATCATTTGACTTCTAATTGACATTGGGAAGTCAATTCTGAAATCGCACAATTTTTCATATCGATTAATGATAGCTAGGTGTCATAACTCATACTGGCCAAAGTATATGAGTGACTCCATATCGTTCAATTGCTTTTTTGAAAGATTCATTTATCTTGGCGAGAGTCATGAACATGCGACGGACATACACCGACTGCAAAATTTTTCGGTCTCAGAAGATTATCTTCCAATGTCAATTAGATGCTAAAGAATTGACCTTGAATGACCTTGAGCGTATTTGCTGCCAATCAGGTACAATGATGAATTTTACTTGATTGCAAATTGGCAAGTTAAACGAAAAAAGTATATAAAGTTCATAAGATTTTATTTTAGTCGGCTATTTTACATTGTATACGCATTTCCAGACTCCAGAAAAGGAAAAGAGATGATGTACTGTTCGGTAGTGTTTGTAGGGAATTTTAAGAACAACTTCGTCTAGATGGACATGTTCCAACCCGGGATCACGACGAGTTATGGTAAACAGGTCTTGCTTCCAATAGTAATTTAGTATCGCAGCTGCAGGTGTGCTAAAATTGATACGTTCGATTGCGCTTCCAAGCCCAACAAGATAAACGATGAAAATGGATAAAATTGCAACTGTCCACGTTGAATGGAGTTGAAAGATGTAGCTTCGATATTACTGGATAAATTAAACACTAATGTAAACACAAAAGATGTAGCTTGCCTAAGCACAGGTGGAAGGTGCACAGGCAAAATCAAGGGGCAGACTTGGGGCAAAAATTTTGCATCTGAGCTTGAGTTAATTGAGGTGAGCCAGCATTTAAACACTCGAATGAATCTCCAAAGAACTGTTTCATAAAAATTAAACCCTGGAGATGGATAAAATTAAAATTGTCACCGTTGAATGGAGCTTAAAGATATAGTTGTCGATTTGGGTGGATGAACGATAACCGAAAACTGATCTGAAAGTATTATGGAATTTGCCGACTCTTGGAGACAAGATTTTTAATGCCCCCTAGTCATGACTTCGATCAAACACAAGCTATCGCTCTGATGGTTCACAATAGCATTATGCATCTATCGATCTACTTGTCAACTAACTTATAAGGGAACTTCAAAAAGTGATACCAACCGATTACGATGTTCTATAGCTCATTCAAAAGTCTGTAATAAATAATTTTGAAACGTCGGATTCTTTTTATAATATGAAAATTCAGTCTTTTGTCTTTCATTTGGTACTACGATCATAGTTTTAGGACAAACAGATAGCGTGCGAATCGATTTTGAAAAAAAGCCGATGAAAAAAAATTGAGTGCCGATTTTCGATAGAAGACCCTGTAACTTTTGTAAAAGTGTGTATCAGCAGCTAAAAAATGAAACTCCCTATCTACCCAAAGCGCGCTTTCGAATGAGCTATAGAACGTCAAAATCGGTTGGTATCTCTTGTTGAAGTTCCCTTGTTAGTTGGAATTTTTGACAAGATTAGTTCTGGTGTAATAAGTTAGTCCCATTGAATCCAACATGTACTGTGCTCAAAAAAAATACAATCGTTTTTCGATGATTGAGCAATTTTCTTGCAATAATGAGCAATAATTGACAGTTTCACATTTCGTTTCTAATCATGTTTCCAGTTTAATAAGCATCGAGTTGAAGGTCTGATCACCTTTTTAATTTAGCTTTCAAAAATATTCACCTCTTTTAGGATTGACCGCTCAGCGCTAATGAGAATAAACATTTACTTACAAGTGATATTGAGACAAGTTACCTGTTTATTGTTAGTATTTATATTTGTATATTACAATAGTTGGTAAATAATGACGATCTAGTTTTATGGTTAAATAAGTTTGTGAGTATGAAACATGAAATGAAAAAAGTTCATAAAACAATTGATGTTCTATGAATTTCTTCGAATGCGCACAAATTGTGGTTCATTATCAATAACCATCAGAAGAAGATTGATAATAAATGCTCTTGAGCAATTAAAATTTCACATTTCTATTTCTCATTTCACAAATGACAAAATGGATTCATAAATAGCCTTACAAAAGCACACAAAGACTATAAATTTCGAAATCGAAAAACAGGCTAATTTTTTTATATTGGTTTTGAAGGTCCGATTCACATAATTATCGGAGCGTAGTGAAACGAAGTGGAGATTTTAACTCGCACTACCGTAAACTCAAATTCACTTTCAACTTTTTTGTCCGGCAACGGCTTAACTAAATTTCATCAAACTTAATATTAGAACATAGTTAATCATTTTGAAGAACTGAAGTGAAATCCAAGGTCATCGGAGGTCATTTGTCGGGATTTCGACCTGTGACTTTTAGAGGTCATTTGAAGGTCATTTATCATTTTTTGACAGTTTTTTATCACTTCGATTGAACTGCATCATTATATCATCATTAGTTATCGAAATATGACTCCAAACATGCAAAAAGTTACAAACTCCTGGAAGAGAAATTTACATTTAGTTCACGAATAGTTCTGTTTTCGAGCTTGATATTAGCAAGATGATCGATTCAGGTAATTTGAAAGAATGGTAACAAAAATTTAGACCATCGTAGGTCATTTGTCGGAAATTCGACCTTTGACCTTTAAAGTTTATTTGAAAGTCGTGTATGCATCCTCAATGCTTTTGGACCTCTACATGAAAGATCCAACACCATAGCATCATTAATGATCGATATATGACTAGAAATATTAAAAATGTCCTTCAAACTCACTAAAAAACTAAACCTTTCTGCATCTCGAAACAAGTTAAAGCAAAAGATATTAACTTTGCAAAGTCTACACTTGCAGGACGTTAGAAAAACAGTTTCTTTCTGTAATAACGCAACTCCTCATATGTGACATGAAACATTTTATTATGTGTTCAGCGCACATAGATGTGTCATATGCAAAGATGGGCGAAGGTCAGAACGCAAAAAATCCTCAGCGTAATAGTGAATTTAATTATTACGCATTAAGCAAGAATTTAAAGAAACAAAATTTGTTGAAATTAATAAAAATTATCCAATTTTTCGATAAATGAGTGAGAACGTTCATGTTTGAACAATGTCTTTGAAAAAAGAATCAAAGCAATATGCGGAAAGATTAAAACCTCTTGACTGAAATCTTCGTGTTTTATGAGGAACATCTTGCAAATGCTCTTATTAAACTCTCATAAGCAAAATTCTTGCATTAAAAATATTCCATTATTTATTTAAATCATTTCGTTGACTGTAATTTATATAAATATCAACAAAAATTTTTCCATTGACTTAATAATGTTCACTGCATTTCATTGCTGCACGCTCCGATATTGACGATCGATCGTCTGACCTAGTGATTAATGAAGTCTTGATATCGACAAGTGAGTTCGGGAGGTTAGCATTGTTAAGATTCGTCATTGCTCTCAATAAATCATCATTTTTACTCAATCTTCTAGTTGAGACTGAACTCTTGCGAACCTGGAAAGTTCAAAATATTAAATGTTTCTATTTGTTCAATAAATTGTTCAATTGTTGAAAACAACAGAGCAGAGCCTAATGCCAAGTAATCACAGGATATAAACGAATTTATCCTTCGATGAAAAATGTAAAATAAGTTGAAAAAAATTGAACAAATAAGAAACTAATCAACACAATGTTTCAATAAAATCAATTCAACAGTTTTCTTGAACCATAAGAAGAGCTGCCTTTATCCATCCAGATATTGGCTTGGATTTAAAATTAAAGTCTGAGAATTGCTTTAATGATTTCATTGTTTACCTTTTACTCTACATTAGATTACATTGTTGCACCGAGTCAAGAAGAAAAAATCTGTTGAGGGAGGAATAAAAATATGGTGAACAAAACAGAGAAATGTTGAAGTTGAACAGAATATGAATTATAAAACGAATAGGCAAGAAAAACAATAAAGAATTACATTCGAAAGATAATAAGTAGAAATAATCAGGAGAAAGAATTAGACGAAATATTAGGCGAATTGCAAGATAAGTCTAAATAATATGGAATGACAATAAGCAAAAGAAGAAGAAGAAGAAGGAAAGAATGAAAATGATGGAGGGAAGCTCATCAAATAACCCTGGGAATTTGTGAATACTCAGAGAAAAAGACAGATGAAGAAAAGGCAAAAGGAATTAACAATTACAGGAGAAGCTTATCGACACATTATGAGAATATTTTATCAATTTGCAGTTCAATTCGTTGTAACTCTTTTCATCTCTCAAACAAATAGCATTCTTCTGACTGAGCTGCTGCTGCTAATATTGACTGAGTTGTTAACCAAGCAAGCAAATAATGAAAATACTCAATATCCTATTAAAAGTAAGGGATAAATAAAGAAGAAACATAAAAAAACAGATTTGCTTTTCACTTGTTGATTGATGATTCTCCCTTGTACCAAATGTAACAAGATAAGTTGAGGTTGAAAATCAGGGAATGAGCAATGGAATCATGTTATTAAGTTATGTGATGATGCATTTGTAATAACATGGAGCCAGGCAAGAATAATGTTAAACAGATCAAGATTGGGTGAAAAGTTAACACAACCAACAACAATGGAAATCGAGATAAATTTAATTTCCGAGTTTCATTCTTTTCTCCCATTTTTCACCCTTTTTTTATTCAAAATTTTGCCTCAATTTATTGTTTCCTTTTCAACTGAATGTTTCTTTTTTTAGTCAACCTTTCACTCAACGATACAATAACTTGTCGCTTTGACTCTGCTATTTGTGCCCTTTTCAATGTCGATAGAGTTTTGAAGAGATGACAAAATATTTGCTCATTTCTTTTCCTCTCTACCTTTAACCTTTTCCAACAGGTTCACCCATTTCCATGTAACCAATTCATTCAAAATTCATTTGAAGCAAATCATGCAAAATCTTTAAAGTTATGAAAATTCATATCATGAAGTAAAGTGGGCTGTAAAGGTTGAACAAGAAAACTGAATAACTTGGAATTGAGATGAAAATGAATAGAGTAAATGAATGAATAATCAGTTGAAGTAAAACTTTGCTCAATTTTTTGCCTCTTTTCAACTCTTTAACCCTTTGCTTCATCAGCAGGCAAGAAAAGAGAGAAAATTTTCTGTAAAATTTTTTTCCATCTTTTTATCATTGCTTCTCATCCTATCTTTTGCCTCACTCAACATCAATCTGGGAACCTCTAAATGATCCTAATCCTTGGATCAAAGTTTTTTATTTTCATGTTTAGTAAACAGAGAAAATGTGAAACAACAGAACAAATGTCTTTTTCCAAAGTTTTTGCCAAATTTTTAACCATTTTCCCTGTTTCAATGAAAAGAACCAAAAAAGCGATTTCATTATATTCGTTCAACTAATTCAACTAATTCGCTGCCTTTTTCTTTTACTCCTACTTTTTGCCTGATGATACTTTTTCTCCTTTTCTCATCAGAACATTGAATCTCTTCTATCAACCTCACATGCCCTGTTTCATGTGTCAACCTTTACAAACTCACCAAACTGGCTCACTCACTTTACTTATCAATTCTCATTTCTCTTCATTCACTCCCAGTCAACCTTTTCAATTTTCCTTTATTCAACAACTTTTTTTTTGTTTCTCGCCTCAATATTTTTTGCTTTTCCAAACTTTGTTTTATCTTTTTGCATTCTTTCCTCATCATCATTAATATTATCATAATATCATCAAGTTCACCATCATCATTCTCATCATGTAGCCTTTGCTTACAACAGGAACAGCCAAGTAATACAAGGTTGCTGATAACTAAAAGGAAAGAATCAAAAATTGAATACAAAATTGATGTGAAAACAATTTACAGAGGATCAATTGTTTAGGTGAAATAAGTTGTGCAAAGTCGACTCTTTTTTTTTGTTTCTACTCTTTGTTTCATCTTCTGCCTCGATCACAATTTGTTGTGTCTACAAAATGTTTACAGACGATGCTTCATTAATTCGCTTGCATCTTCCAATTTACATTTGTTATCATTTTCATCATCTCATTATCATCGGAATCACCGTCAAACTATGATTAAACAGTGTTTACTTTAATGAATAAATTTCAAGAGGAAATTGAATTGGAAAGCAATTGGATTATTTTTATTTGATACTTTAATTTGGGAATTGAATCCAATTTTTTTCTTTCCTATTTCCTTACTTTTGCTTTGTTTCTTAATCTTCATCTTGTTCTTCTTCTTCTTCTGTTCGATAAAAATATCGTCGAGTTGAAATTTCCTCACATCATCATCATGAGTTTACCAGTAGATGATCTATGTAACAACAGCTTGTGTAATGAAACTACAACCGAAGGAACCTCATTAGTAACACTAACTATTGATGATTTGAAAGAGCTTCATCGGATTAACAATGATCCATGCCTTTATGCTTATTGTATACTTTTTGGTATTGGTTCCTTTGGCAACTTTTACGCTCTCAAAGACCTGGTCAAGGCTCGCCAACTCAGCCAATATATTAACCTGCTCATGGCTCATTTAACTTTTGCCGATCTTTGTGTCATCTTTATCTCACTGCCCATTGAGATAATGTGGAGGATTACAATCTCATGGAATGCTGGTGATACTAGTTGCCGTGTAATTCAATCCGTTAGACTCTTTGGAATGTACCTGTCATCCAACATTGTTGTCTGTATTTCAATTGATCGACTTCATGCTTTCACTCGTTCATCCAGAACAGGGTATCGAAAATATTCGAAAACATTTCTCATTTCAGCTTACATATTAGCATTATTTCTAAGTTTACCCCAGGTAAGTCGAGTAATCAGTTATTTCGTTTCCTTCATCATCACCATTTCATGCACAGTTAGCCATCAAGACAAGAGTCAGTCAACCTAGCAAAGTCACTCTCACTGCATCAAAATTAATGAACAGCGAGACCTTTACACGTAAAAAAACTCGACATTTGCCTTTTCATTTCCATCAAATTTATTCGTCGAAATTATCATTTCTATCATTTCCACCATTTCCATCATTTTTATCATCATCATCTTATGCATGGTGAAACCTCTAGACATGAGTCTTTTAACTTAACAAAGTCACTCCAACTGCATAAACCTCGACATCAACTGAGACCTTTTTTACGTTTAAAGATTTGCATTTTCATTTCCATTTTGATATCAATCAGATTAATAATATTCATCAGTTTTACCTCACACATTTCCATAATTTTCATTCCCTGTATGACGAGTCTTTAAACCTGTCCTCATCAACCTAGCAAAGTGATACTCATCACTCTTGAACATGAAAATGAAACCTTTTACATAACAAAAATGATCCTCCCACTAACACTATTAGTCTTCATCTTTGACCTCTCCTAAGAAGGATCTTCAATCTTCGCATTAAGTAACAGGCGATTTTGTCTATTCATTTGCAGATCCTCCCCAACTTTACCTTAGGTTATCCTAATAACAATTTGTTCATCAGAAAACAAAATTTTCTCATGGTCATACCTTGAAGGCATTCAGTTATTATCGCAACTGTTATGATTAGAAAAAGCGAACCTTTTATCAACTTTTTTTTCTTTTACTTCACACAACAATTTATTATCTAATAATAAACCCACTCAGCTCGCTTTTTTTGTGGTCCTTTCAAGATCCTCATCCTTCATAAACAGTTTTTTTTGTCATACAAATTATTCCATAATATTCCATTCTGTCATTTTTACTTCACTAAACTTGATGATTATGATTATCATGACAATTGTCAGAATAATAATTCATTTGAATTTTCATTAGAATACTTTCAACAATACTATCCAGCAAAGAAGAAGAAAAAAAATGTACAAAGTTCTGTCTATACAATGTGTTTTCTTGCACTCAGTATTAATAAATATTAGTCGAACCAAGTATTTGTACAGAACAAAAAAGTAAAGCTGAAAATGTTGATTTCAATCAAACAATGCATTTGCATTTGACAAAACGTAAAACTTTTAAACAATTTCCTTCCCCTGTTTGGATCAGCTTAACGTCTTGAGTTCAAATATTATAGACTTTTGGATTGCTTGAAAATCATATAATACCAGTTGTCTGCAAGTTTATTTAATACTTGTACTTTATCCATTTCTCCATGTTTCAATGAAATCAAGAATATAAAAAAAGGAAAAGGGCAAAAAGAAAAGGAAAAAACAAGTAAACGAAAAATGTTATTAACTGTAATTTCGTTGCTGGTAAAGGGATTGAATTTCTTGAGAATCAAATGGCAGTCTTGAATTGTCTCAATATTATTAGAAGTTAAATTTTGATTCTTTTTTTTGCTCTTCGCTTCTCAATTTTTTGTCAATACCAATAAGAATAACAATTTGAATATTGTATTAAAATTTGTGCATTGTTCATCAGATTACAGCAAAAGAGATTAACTTTGAGTTACATTACCTTTGAGTTTTAGACAACATCAAACTTTTCCTTTATCTTTTCATTATTTCAACTTATTATAAACTTTAAAGTTACAGGGCAGCTTTATCATTCTGCGCACTTGTTGGAACAATTATCAAGAGAGAGAAAAAAACTTTATATTCAAATGTTATTCACAAGTATGTTAGTTTCAAGATCATTAAAGGTCACTAAAGGTCACTTGGTTATTTGATCGATTATACACATTTCTTCATTTAAAGGTCATTTCACAAATGTTTGTCTTGGATCTCGTCTAAAATTATCTCAGTTTGAACGATTGTTTCCACTCAATGAGTTGCCGTTTTGAGTGAAGCAAGATTTCGGCCAAATCATGGTTCTTATCAAACGTCCAAAAGTTATTCAGCATTCGTGATGTGATGGCGTATAGTGCAATCGTTAGTTATACTGAGTGCTTAAGTACTGATGAAGATTTTTTGTATTAGTAAATGTTATTGAAACGAGCAAATCAAAATGCAAAATGCAGATATTTAGTAGATGATAGTTAAGGACGAATAAAGATCAAATGATTGAGTGACCTTGACTGGCATTGAAACTCGAAATCGAAGGTTTTCCAATCAAATTTGAATAAAAAGTTTATTTGGTTTTTCATTTGCTTGTTTCTCGAATGCAGACTAACTCAACTAGAGACGTATAAACTAGCAATTATTGATAAGTATGTCAACAGGTTTGACAGGGAGTGAAAAAGTAAAATAGGTTGACAAGGGAAGGAAAGATTGAAAGTAAAAGATAAATTCAAGTTTAATTTACTCTTCTTTAAATATTCATTGTTTACCATTACATTATTAAAGCTGTTAGTTTAGGTGCATTTGAGATTCAATGTTTTTGCCTTTTCAAAAGCCTAACCAATTGAGCAAGTTAATATTTTCGTTGGCATCATTACTAATGAGATAAAAGAAAAGTAGACGAAAAAGGAGCAAAGAAAGAGAAAGAAGAAGAAGAAGGAAGATCAAGAAAAATCTGGTTTCAAGAGATTTATCTGTATTTAACCATTCCTTATTAGTATTAATATTAAAAATTAAATGTAGGGAAAAGGCTAACCTAATGATGTTAAACCATTTCTTGGTAGTCAATAGAGAGAAGAGGCAGAAATATTAGGAAAAGCATTTAAAGACATCTCGAGTAAAAGTTGTAACTCGAACTCAATCTCATCATTTTCGACTTCCATTAGTTGGACATTAAAATGGAGAGTTGATAGACACCTGATTATTGAGATGTTGATGCCAAGTGAAACCATAATTTGAAAAAGTTTGATTAAGAAAGCATAATAAAGCAAATCTTTAATTCTCAACAGGCCGCAATTTATCGCGTTGAATATCATCCATCCTTTCCCGATTATGCTCAATGTATTCAAGCTAGATGGTTTGTCGATTCCAAGCTGGAAAAGTTTTATATTGCCATGTGCCTACTGGGAATGTACTTTGTTCCTCTCATAGCAATAGTCTTCTGTTATTGTAAAATATTTTTTCACCTTCATTTTGATGGTCAAAGTATTCAATTTCAAGGTAACTTCTTCTTCTTTTTTTCCTCTCATTTTCCGGTTCTTTTTCAATTCCCTTTTCTTCCTACCTTTTATCATTTCTTATCTTGCACACCTTTGCTTTCCAATTTAATAAAATTCAATTTAAACTTTATTTTTCTTTTCCATTTCATTTCATTGCTTCCAACTTGTTTTTTTTTGCTACTACATTCACTATTCACTTGATTCATTATCTTTTATTCATTCTTCTTGTTCACTTGTTTTTTTCAGATGCTTTATATGCTTTACAGTATAGAGCTGTTGATGCTCGAGATAATAAAGATATTCGTCGAGTGATTGCTCGACATCACGCTAATCGCTATTCAATTATTCTAAAAGCCAAACGTCGAACGCTGAAAATGACATTAATCATTGTGATTGCCTACCTTATCTGTTGGTCTCCGTACGCTTGTCTCATTTTGTACTATTCATTTGACTACAAGTCTGCTCAAGATATTGATCCAGCCATTCAAGAGGGAATCTTGCTTTTTGCTGTTGCTCACAGTTGTGTTAATCCATTTGTTTATCGAATCAATCTTGTCCGTCGATTTCCGATAAGCTTGAACAGACCCTGAAATGATGGGTAAGAACCAAGGAAGTTAAACCACAGAATCGTGTATTACACTTGTCAAGGATTCGATTCCATGCACATTATACGTTATTATATTCTTTGGTGAAAAGAAAATTTTATCATCTTTTGGCAACTTTGCAGTTTATAACAAATATGAATGAAATATCGGATAAAATATAAACTCAATAATGATATCTGTTACATTGATAATTGTCACTTCTAAACATTTCAATAAAATAAAATTGGTTGTGAGAGAGAAAGATAAATGAATCTAATGGAAACTCAACTTTCATCCATTTACATTTCTTGAGTAAAATAAAAACTGACTTTCATATTTAACTATTTGTAATTTTTTGAAGCATAAATCATGCATTGAGGCGTGATATCATGACAATTTAACGATTTGGAGTTAAAAAGCGGACTGGAATTTGGAAAAAAGGTAAGTTTGATATTAGTTATTTTCGAATTGTTTCATGACTACTTTTATAGCAACTTTTCCATGATGTGAGTAATTTTTCATGCTGTTAAATTTTAAATTGGCGATTATATTGAGGACTATTGCAATTTGAGCGTCTCATCGGGTGTATTGTTTCCATGTTTATAATATTGATTGCTAGAGTGCATTAGTGGGTTAGACGATTTTTTAATTTGCTGGATACTTAAAGCGAAGTACATTAGTAAATGTAAGTTTCAGCTTCTGAGACAGGTTGTCCCTACTAGGCGACAATGTCTATAAGATGAGAGAATTGCGAGTATACGATAATATACGAATTTATTGTGTGGAAGTTTTTATGAAAAAACTTACTAGACTTATAGAACTTATTGGTAATTTTCCAATATGATATTCTTAGTTCCAAGAACGATCGATTACAGAATCTATTAATGGGATGCGGATTAGGAGCAAATTGGAGGTAAATAATTCTATGTTGAAGGTAAGCAACATAAAATCAAATGGTTAAATTTTATAATCTGGTGCTATTTTGAAATTGGTCATCTTAATAGTGTACTAACAAGTTAAAAGCAATATAAGAATTCTAAATAAACGAAAATAGGAAAAGCCATTGAAAGCAATGGAAAATCAAGACAATGTTATGTCTTAAAAATGACAAAAGAGTGTTAAGATTAGATTCCATATGGTTTAAATCTTTACAATACTACAATATCTCAAAGCAACTCGGGCTTCGCCTTCGAGCATAACTTCTCAATGCATGGTTTGACTATCACATAACATTTTCGAATCGATGAGCTAGACTAGAATAACATCCAAAAGCTCATAACTGTTTTCTAGAAAAATAAAATATTATATGATAACAATATTGGAAGCATCATTAAAGTTGACTAGAAGTTTGCAAAACTTTACTGAAGAGCAAACTCTGAATCTAACTGAAAACTTTTGAAATTCCCTCCCAAAATGTAACCAGTTACGACATGCGTGCCTATCAGTTCTGGTTGGTTTGCTAATAACATGATAGATGACAGCATTTGCTTGATAAAAAAGTATTCAGTTACAGTTTCGATTATCATTTCAGTTTCAGATACCACTCAGTTTAGCACCACTCAAAAATATCTCATTTGCCCTCTCCGGCGGTCAGCGTAACTCATGATTTCCAATCTTCCTCTAAAATATTTAAGCAAGAATGTTGCTTGAAACTGATTTTGAGAGCTTTTAAATTGATATTGAATTGGGATATTGAAAGGGAATTGAATTAAGCCGATTGATTAAAGAAATTTGTTTATCCTAAACCAAACTTGTAACACGGAAATTTCGAGTGTCAAGATTCAAATTAAAGCTCACAATTATTTATAGCGTAAATATGTGATTCGATCATTTCTGGCTCAAGATACTCGAAATAAACTTGCTATTAGAATGGTTGAAAAAGGTTGAAGTTTGAAGAGACAAAAAGTTGTCTTCATTACCACTCGAAGCTGAAAAAAGAAAAGAAAATTTCCTTTTCATCTTATTTAAATGTCAAAGCCATGAAAAACTCAAATTCATACAATTCATGCCTACAGGGTATTAGCCAGCTGCTCAAACTTTTCCATGTTTACGCGGTTGAATGTAAAGCAAAAGAGTAGAGAAAAGTTCTGACAAGTTCAATAAAGTTGTGAAACTTGAAACACGAGATTCTCACAGTTTACCAGCTAATATCATTATGTATCATTATTGATTAGCTGCAAGTTAATTTTGTAAATTGGTGTAAATTCATTTTGGCCAAATTTGATTATCGTTTCCCTTGAATATAATGCAAGATAATTGTTGAGTTGATTGAAGAGCAGCACTTTTAAAAACAAGAAAACATTCTTGTTGATTGCCAAATGAATGGATAAATATCGTTAATCTCGTTGTTACCTGTTACTGAAACTTTTACCTTCATTACTTTTCAACACATAATTCACTTCACACTTTCATGTAATGCTTTGAACAAAGAACTTGCAATTCTTAAATTACTATTACAATTATCAACTGGGAATTAAATTGTTTTTTATTCCTTTTCTTTTTCCTTTTGTTTCACCTTTCCTCCATTATTCTTTGTAATAATAACACTTTCAACTGTTCAACAACTCAACGAAAAACGAGGCAATAATTTATCATCGTGTTAGACGTCATCAGTTGAACGTTTGAGATCAATTTTAAACGAGGTGAGAAATGAAGAGCAAAGAGAGAGAGAAGGGAAAAGATGAACGAAATTGGCTCAAGAAAAATGTGTTTAAATTTTGGTTAAGTTTTGGTTTTTATGGATCATTTAACAGTACATTTGCAAAAGTATAGCCTTTAGTCGAGCAAAAGCATTTGGTTGAAACCAGTTTGTTAAATATTTAAATATTTTTTCTTCTGATTTTATAGTTGAAATGATGAGAAAATGAAACTGAGATGAAGTGAGAAAAGTTTTTTTTTCTTTTTTTCTCTTCTTCTTTTCAAAACTTTACCATTTCTCAAATTTACGAGCAAACAATTTATCCTTACCTTTTTTTGTTGGTAAATATTTTATTGAGGAAAAGGGAGTGAAATAAGCTTGAAAAGATGCAAGAAAAAAATGAATCGGTTGGAAGTTCAGTGTGAACAAAAATGACTAAAGTAAACACAACTTTGAAAAGTAAAATGGAAACTTGAATATTGAAAAATGATGAAAAGAAATGCTTTATCAATAGAAAGTGAAAATTTGAGGAAAAAATGTAAAAATAAAAACTGTGGAACCAACAATTTCTCGTTATTTGTACGATCTGGAAAAGCATCTTGAAATGAATCTTCACTCCATGGGAACTCTTCGTTATAGTAATCAAATTCATGGTCTTTGATGAGATCGTTTTGATGGAGGTCTTTATGCAAATCATTTGCATTAGTATTTGACACAAAATTAAGATCGACATCAACTCTTTATCTGATCGAGCACTTCGTCTCATAGTACTAGGCAAGCAGTATGACAAGCCTAACCTACCTTAGTGGTCTAAGCCAAGTTAACGTTTCCTATTAGCGAGTCAACAGTTGCAGTGTGAAGTCTATTTGACAAGAGGACATCGAAGGATCGGATGGATTCATTGGATTGATTGGCGTTAATGTTTACAATAATTTTTGTTTGAAACTCTCTATGCTATTCAACCTGATTTTTATTTTTATTTCATAAAATTGTAAAACATTATTGAGCGGAAAAGCATTTTCTTATGAAAATAGGTGGAAACTCTGAGGAATCATCATTATTTTATTGATAATAAAGTTTAATTTTTGAAACATGAAAGATGATTGTTTGATTTTTGATGAAAATTGCAAATAATTGACCAACTTTCCTGGTCTATCAACATTAGGCCTTTTATTTTGCTTTCTTTAGTACATTTGAACACTAATCATTTGCATTGTAACTCAACACACTTAACTCAAGTTGCTGGTCTTGACTCAAACAGTTTAATTTGCATCAGAAGTAATACTTTGTAAGTAATTGGTGTCCATGTTTCGCGAATTCATGTTACGGCAGATGTTGACAATTCTCATGAATCAATGATTTAATTGCCAGATTAATTAGTCATTATGATGTTTACTCAATGATTCATCTCAACTGTGCAAGAGTTAACAACTCTAGCAAAGGTCTGTGCGAGAAGGCTTACTGGTCAGAGATGTCAACTCTGTCTAAACACTGTTTCATATAACTGACCAAACAACATGATTATCACTTTATTTTGCATAACATGAAGCCATCAAAAGAACAGCGAAAATTTTTTCCAGAAACTCAAAATTAAAGCGAAAATAGCATCGAAACGATCATCAATTTTTCCATCTTTTGTCCTTTGTTCAAGCATAAAGTTCGTTCTGCCTTTTTTCCATCATCTCAGGTTAACAGACTCTATCAACACTTTTGTATGCTTACAGTTGAAAAGCTATCAGGTTTACCTAACCCTCCGTTGCTACTCTTAAAAAAAGTCACAAATATGCTACTCTTTGGACAAAACTGTCCGTAGCCTTAACAGTAGTAAGAAGTAAATGAGAGGCAAAAGTTGTAAAATGGGGGTTGCGTTGACCCTGACCCTAACTTTTGACCAAAATTTTGTTAGTTCTCTTTTTTATTGCTTTTTTGTTTCTGTGTCTTATGTTTGACTTTTTTTGACTTTTCTCAAATCTATTGAAATTTTGAGTTTGCTTGAAATCTTGCTATGGCAGTCTAACTCATAAAAAAATTTAATCGTAGAATTTTCTCATTTTCATATCAAAAAAACCGCAATAGACATTGAGATGCCCCTAACTGTATCTTTTAGAGCATATTTTAATCTATTGAAATCCATAATCAAAAGTTGGTGACATTTAATAAATTTTGATCAATGATTGTTCAGTATTCAATGCACATTTAACTTTAATTGTCTTTTATTGATAAAACCGCAATAGACTTTGAGATTTAACTAATTGTATCTGTTCGAGCATATTTCAATCTATTGAAATCCATAGTCAAAAGTTGGTGACATTAAAAAAATTTTGATCAATTATTATTCAATGTTGAATATTAACTAAACCGCAATAGACTTTGAAATCAGACTGATAAGTTATTGTAGAGAAAATGTTATTGTATACTAAAAAGAAATCAAAAGTTGGGGACATATCAAAAATTTTGATCAATTAATATTAATATCATCATCGATTTTACATTCAATTCAAATGCTTCTTTGTCGTATGATTCATCAACACATTCATTCTTATGGTAAAATTTTACAAACTAAGATAGTTGTAACCATCGTAAAACCAAAAAAGTTGATTTGACTTTTGCCCTCTTGTTGCTAATTAGCTTCGCTTTTTCTTACGGGAAGGCTTGCATAAGCTATTGGTGACTCTTTTTACAAAAGCAATAAAGTGGTCAAAAAAATAAAAGAGAATTTTATTGCTCTGTAGCTTTGGCAGTGCATTTACGCAAAGCTACTCTTGTGACTTTTTTGTCTTTGACCGTGCCAGTCACCCTTTATATCAATATTACAGGTAAACTATAATGTCCTTGCTCTTCGTTTTCGAGATATACACACTCATATCTATGATTGACAATGTTCCGGAGTCAAAAGTTTCTAACTCATAAGGTTTTGATTTTATTAACATTCAAAAATTATTTTGGACAAAAAAGTCTAAGAGTAGCAACGGAGGGCTAACAAATGTGTGTCTTGATCATAATTGATTGGGAAGATGAAGGGTAAACAAGAGCGAGTGAAACCGTAGTCACGTACAAGGAAGTCAACTTTTGATTCGCTAATCTCATAATTTTTGCTTCTCAACTCGATTCAACCTTTTTTTGTCCGACATTTTTATCCCTTTTCTCACTCAACCTGTTTCCATCACTTATCGAGTGATAATTATGTTACATATTTATATTTATATAAATAAAGGTTAAAAGGTTTACAAATTAAAGTTTAATGGGAAAAAAGGCAAGAAAAAGTTATCAAGTACAAGTGTTGAGTTGGAAAGATGTTGTTGAGAATCTTTTGGTTAATATTTCATGTTCAGTTTGCTCGTTGCAAAAGGCAGCATCACTTGGAAACAAACAGTTATCAATAATAAAGTTGACTTGGAGGTTGAAAAATGAAATCAAAAATATCCATTGTTAATGCAATTCTATTAGTAAATTAGTAATGATGGCAAACTTTTTGCTCGATGATTATTGTAATGATAATGATGGTCAATGATGGCTGATGATGGTTCATCATGATTGTGGTGATGGAAAACAAGTGAAAGTGGAAAAAACAAACCAAAGTCAAGAATATCAAATAATACAATATCATTATCTATTAACATTATTATTAGTCGTTAATATTGTTAAAGCCTAAATGATAGTAATAATCTAATGAATCATTGAGCCAATTCAGTGAGAGATGAGGCAAACATGAAGATGAAGATGTGTAATAAATGCAAGGGAATCACTTTAATTGAACAAAAGTGAATTCATTATTTAACCTTAACAAAAGGTCTTTTTTGCTTCTCTTTTTACTCCTTTGATTCTTCATCTTCCTGCTTTCTTCACATGAAACCATTTTGATTCCCATGATGATGTCAATAATGAAAAGGATGGAAAAAAGGCACAGAAAATTGTACGATGGAAGAGAAGGAAGAAAAGGAAAAGGAGAAAAAAAGAGAAGATTCATTTCAAGCAGAATCATGCGTATAAAAATGATCATCATTCCCAGTTAGATATTCAAGAGATTGTTGATGTGGTTAAAACACATACAACATTATACTAGACTATTTTAGCCTCTACTTTTGCTTTCCTTTCTTTCCCTTTCAAAATGTTCATCTTGTTCATCACAATATTCAATATCAAGATACGGAAAGAATTGATAAAGTCACCAATATCCTTTTTCCTAATCTTTTTCAATATCGATATCAATGCAAATCACTTTAACGGTGGAGTAAAAAGTAAAATCCCAAACTATTAATACAGCCTAAAATCTTCATTTATTTTCTTTCATTTCACGATCCTTTCCTTTTTCGTCGGATTAAATATTCATTTTTCTTTTTCTCTGCTCCACTTTTGTCAGAAATTCAACTTCAAGTCGTTAACTTTCAGTAGACTTCATTGATAAATGTTGAGAGAGGCAAAAGGTAAAAAGTTTTCCTTCGTAAACACAGCCTCACAGACTAGACTAGTCTCAACCTAAAGAGCATGCCTTGTCGGTTGAGATTTGGTTCCATGATTGGGTTTGTTTACGCGAAACTTAACAGTCCTAATTTTGTACTAAGAAAGTTTAATTTCAAATTCAAACAGTACCCAACAACAAATTAACTAAATAAAAGTAAACTTCGAATTTTTAAGTGTTTAATAATAGGTAGGTAATGAAGCAAACTTAGGAAAAATAATGGCATAATGGATGGTTTAATCAAGCATAAAGTATGATCCACCGAAAAGCAAAAATGTTTTCCTTCGTAAACATAGCCTTTTAGACTAGACGAATCAACCCAAAGAGCATGCCTTGTCGGTTGAGATTTGGTTCCAAAGTTGGGTTTGCTTACGTGAAGTTAACTGTCCTGCATCTTTATCACTGACTCAGCTCACTGAAACATGAAAACTCATTGGTTTGTAAATTTTGTTGTAATAAGCACAACTGGACCATGTATTGTCTTGAGCACAATTTCATTTACACACATTAGTCACGCCAATCACCTGTGCAACAATATTCTAACCCTTGCAATTTTTAATGTCTTTCGTCTTTCTTTTTCTTTTTTGGTCCACTTTTTGGCCATTCCAACTGAGCAACTTTTTCTCGATCAAAACAAAAAAAGTTCTGTTGAAGGATGGAGGGAGACGGAAAAGGTTGAAATAAATTGTGAAGCTATTAAAATGTTTTGCACATACTATTGAGAAAAAAAGCGAATGAAAAGGTAATGGAGGCAAAAAAACGGAGTAAAGAGTTAATGAGAATAATAGTTGAATAGATAAATATGAAGGGAAGAAAAAAATTGATACATTTCATCCAACATGATAGATGATAACTGATAACAATTTTTTTCACCCGAAATCCATGATCAATGGTTCAATGATTTCAAGTCAATGTTAAAAGAGACTTTTCCTGTTTCCTTGTTATTCAAGTATCATCATTGGGTTAACCATTTTGAGTTTGATTTATACGAAATGATGAAAAGCATTAAAGATGAGAATGATGATGAACCTGCTGATGATGATGATGATGATGATGATGATGGAGTAAAGAGGATGGAAGAGCTGGAAAAAAATTGAAAGAAAAACATTGACGAAAAATTATGCTGATTTTGGTTGATGTTCCAAGTCAACAAATTATTCAATCTCTCATTACTTGTGATAATTTTACTCCATGCTATTGATAATGATGATCATGAAGCAGATTATGTGAGAATTTCACAATTTAATTTGATTAATCAAGCTTTCTTGAGCGAAAAAGAGAGAAGAAAAAGGAAAAGAATAAGAAGATAAAAGTTGCTCTAATTGTTCATTTCATTACGTCCATCACAAGAATAATTAATCTTGACTCATTATTGAATCATATTCAACTCATTAATAAAGCAAATTTTTGCATTTGTTTCCAAGGAAAGGGATGAGAAGCAGAGGAAGAAAGGCTTGAAAAAAAGGTTCAAGAAAGTGAGTCAAACAGCATTTCTCATCTTCATTTTTACTATCATATTCTGAGAATCGATCATGATGCGCATGTTGACTCCGACGAAGAGTCTTTTAAGAATTTTGATATTTTCTGTCTTCTTCCAAATTTGCTCGACTACTTTTAGAGAATCTCTTTTTTCTCTCTTCTCTCTTTTAGAAACCGTTTTACCAACAAAACCAGTGATGGTCAGTTTAGTGATTTTAATTTAATTAACCCACAAAGTTAATACAGAGAAGAAGAAAAAAATGTGATCCATTCAAATTGTGTCCACTTTTATTGTTGATGTTTCACCAGCCAATGTTTCATCAATTCATGGTGAGTGTCTAAATGGACGAGCATTGAATAGTAAAAAACACACAGCTTTGGACAGTTCCAGTTTCACTGAACTTGAATGTTGTGCAAAAATGATCAACAAAATTGCGTGACAAGAGTGTGAAGAAACTAAATGGCTTCTAAAAGGTAAATAACAAATTGTTCAACTCTTTTTTTCCTTTCACTTTACTTGCCCATTCCAAATGTTAATTGAATTGTTTTCATGCATTTATGCTGTTAGTCAAAAATCGTGCAAAACTTGAATCGCTATCATGCCATTTAGCAAGTCTTTTAAGTTGATCAGAAAATATTATTTCTTTTAAGTTTAATCACAATTCTATTAAATGCTGGAGAATATCAATTAGTATTTGACTGTCGATAGAAACAAATATTGATTGAACAGCTACAAAAGGAGCAAAAATCGCCTTCAACAAAGAAAACATTAGCATTTGTTCAGTTTCATTGCACCAAGATGTGCCCCGAGGATCATTTCTGCTATCGATTCGTCTCAAATTGAAAGTAATTTCATTCAAAGGTGCATCGCTTTAAAGCGTTATTGTTAGATGGTTATTTTTTAAAGCAAAATCTTCTAAAATGAACTCTATTGCACATAAAAGTTATGTTATCCAGAAAACAAACTTGCAGATGGTTTAGCGAGTGTCTCAAAGTTTTGGCGACTCTTGACTCATTTGACAGTTAGAATGCATTGTAAACACGGAAATAAAATTGACACAAGACGTGAGTGAGTCCGTCTTCACTGAGTCTTTGCGTTTTGAGAAGTCTTTAAAGTCAAACGTAGAGTAAATGCCAATTTTATGCGTTAAATGGCAATCATGTTTGTAACAGTTTAAGTTTCGTTATTGAGTCAATATATACATTTTGCTTTATAAATAGTGCTTTACGGACATGATGCAAATTCGTTATTGGCCGAATGCAGCAATTTGCGTAAATCGCAGATTAAATTTTTCAAAGTTTGCTGAAATAGTCTTTTAATTCACAAATGCTTGATTGAACTTCCTAAGAATATTTCTTCTGCTTTCAGAGTTTCTTTACGCGTTTTCCCATTGTATACTTATCCAACCTTGGATCAGAAATGCTACAGCAATTGACTGTTTAGGTTCTAAGCAAAGAGTCGCATTGAAGAGCTCAATAGATGAGATTGGTTATAAACGAGGTGAAAAGCCTTGAATTGGTAGACATTTCGTTACAGTCCAAGGTGCTTGTTAAGTTTGTGTAACTGTTTAATCGAACATGCAAAGCTTTTAACCTTGAATTATGATAATATGAGCTCCAGGCTGAATAGTTGAAGTCATTCAAACACTACTTAAGATGCAGACCGACAAATTTTAAACTAATTTTCGGTAAAATTTTAGAGAAAAAGATATTTTATAACAAAATAGAGACTGAAAAGCTGCAAAATACGCATCAAAGGCAAAGAAAGCTTAATTTAATGAGAATTTCGTAGAATATCAAGTAAAAATTTCTGTTTAATCAGCAGTTATAAAGGTTACTTGGCAATACTTTCGACCACAATTTTATACCGAATGCACGAATCAACAATAGCGCCTATTCCATGCTTTTATTCAATTCCAAAGTTTCATCTCAGCATAAAAAGTAACACTTTAATACTACAAAGTTGAACATATTTCATAGCAAAACTACAAAAATATTCATGTTGACCATTGCATTTGAAATGAAATTTCAGCAATTTATCAACATTTACTCATTCGTCTTGGTGTTCCAACATGCCTAGTAAATTGTGATAAATGGCAGCCAGAAATAAAGTTATAAAAAAACGAAAAGAAATTATTCTCCATAAAAATACTTTGTATTCGAGGAAAGAGAAGAAACGAAAAAGGAAAAACAATGAAACACAATGCAATTGTTCAATAACCATTTATGTATTTATAAGAAAATGTACACTTCTAAATCGGGATCAAATGTATTATAATATTATGCATTTAATATTATCATTGTTCATTAAAAGTACATTTAGATGGTTCAACTGTACATGGTGAGCAGTGCAATAAAAGGAAAAGCCTAAAGGCAGGGAAAATAATTGTTGAACAGGTAACTTAGGAATGCAATTTATTAAGATGAAAAGCCTTCAGGATGAATAAGTTTGTCTCTTTTTCTTTCCTCTTTTTTCTCTGTCTCTTTGCCTCATTCCAAGTCATCATGTTTATGCAATACAAGCCATGATTTGATAAGTTAATTTGTCTTTAGCTTTTCCGTTCAATTGCAATTGAAATTAATCTGCAAAATTTGCTGGTCAATTCGTTTGCTCGACAATTCTCATCTCATTAAGTGTTGAATCGCCAATCAAGGAGTGAAAAGGTTGTTGACTATTAATTGACTTATTTGGGCAACAAAAGTTGCATTCAAACATTGATTGTCTAATAAACTATTTATCATTCATTCGCATTGTTTATCATTGTTATTATATTTGGTCAAAGAATTGGATAAAAAGGTGAATCTTGGAAGAGCAAGAAAAGGTAAAACTCATTATTACCATTTATTAAGCTTAGGTGTGGCCCAGGCTTAAATGACAAATGGCATTTGGTGCAAAGAAAAAAGGGAACAAAAAAGAATATTATTACAAAAAGAAAATGGACAAAAGAGAAAAAGATTTATTTCTTTTTTAGCCTTCTTTTTCACTCCCAGATTCTTGATGAATATTTCCATTGGCAACTAAAGTTCAACATTAAATCGATACAACTTTTTACCTTAACCTTTCGACTTTTCAAATTCAATTCAAGTTACTCGGTCGGATTCATGAATAATTTTCTCATTCTTAAAATTCATTCTAAAATGTTCTTATTTCTTCCTACTTTCTAAAGAACGCAAATTTTCACCACAATTTGCATCCAAAACACTGAGTAGAACGTAACCAGGAATTGATCTAAGCGTTGAGCCATTTTCCTAAGCCGAAGTTTAAAGTCGCTGACGAAAAGAAACAAGTTGAAAGAATTTTGCATTCTTTCGAAGCTGAAGTAGAATAGAAAAGCTTACTTTCTTCAGCACGATGATATGATTTTCAGTTGGAATCGCAAAGAAGAAAAAATTCAGTCGGCGTTTAGAATTAGTTTTAGCAGAACGAAAATGGTCAAAAGAATTTCATGGAAAAAATTCTGAATAAAGATTCGATAAGTCTCACACGAATTGATCAAATAATGACTATGGCTTCTTCAGACGAAGCTAAAGCTCAAAATCGTTGGCGAACAGAAAAAGTCATGAAATAAGCAAAAAATTTGAATTTTTCGTTCTTCTGAAGTTGAATTAGAACAAAAAAGCCAATTTCTTTCAGCAAGATTGTATGATTATCTGGAGAAATCAAACGCAAAAAAGAGAAAACTCGATGAAAGTTCATGATAGAACGCAGCGAAATTCATTTTCAAAGTTGCACATGTTGTTGTTGAGTTTGAAATATTTTTTTTATGAAAAACAAAGCTATGAACTTCCTTCCAAGATTATCAGTCAAAGCATGGAAAAAGTTTTGAACAAAAGTGCTAAAAATGAAGACAAAATGTTGTCATTAGACTGTCACAGTCTTTATTGATGCTCCATCCTTTAGTTGTAACAAATCTGTGTTTATATTTGCTCAACTCACAGTTGTTATCAGAAACGAAAAAATCTCAACTGGGAGTGAAAAAGAAAAAAAAACTCCCTGAAAATGTTGAGTTATGATAGAAAAAAATAGCGAATCAACCTTTTTCTTTTCCCAAGCCATATGATGTATGATGGCAAAATTAATTGCAAGGGTTAATCAACTTGCAAGGAGTGAGTTAATTAAGACCAATCATGGAGAATGATAATGCTAAAGGAAGAAGAAGAAGAAAGAGTTGAAAAGCCTTACCAGATACACATGAAAATGTAATAATAATAATGATCATAAAGATGATGAAAAAAATATCTACTTAAGGATAATTCATCTTGTAACTGTTTATGATGCGAGAAAATTAGCCAACTTTGGAAAGGTAAGATTTATATCTTTTCAGATAACATCAAAAATAATAACATCCACGTGATTTCGTTTTCATGAAAATTTCTTCTTCTCTTTCTCCAACTTTCAGTTTCCTTCCCTGACAACATTGTTACTTATCTGATTCATTTTCATTCCTCCGCCCTTAATCATTTGATAAGTGAAACAAAATTTTTTTTCTCTTTGCTTCCTCTTCCTTCTTCAACACTCAATAAATTCTGTTAATGATAACACTTTCTCTTGTTTCTTCGTTGCTCATCACTTTAGTAGATGAACTTTACGAATATGTTCAAGAGCAAATCAAAGTTGAAATTCATTTTTTTTCTTCCAATTGCTTGAAACACGAATCGGTTCAAGTTTGATAAACATTTTGAGCTTTTAATTTGATAACTAAACAGACAAAAGTTTATCCAGTTTTAAATTTACTCTTTTCCTTCCAGTGAATCTCGAATTTTCTGGTTTCAAGTTTTCTTTTTTTCTCCATTTAAATTGAGTTAATATTGAAACTGAGAATATTGAATGAGCATTTGTAAGAAGTAATGAATTATTAATCAATGAAGCGAAGAAAAGTTTCCATTCTAATTCAATTGAAATGCTAGCAAAGTGTAAAGTAGAAGAGCAAAAGAAGAGCAAAAGAAGAGCAAAAGAAGAGCAAAAGGTTTTAAATTAACATAATTTGTGGTAAACTAAACAATGACCGGAAGCTGTAGAGCATTAAGGTGATGAAAAAAAGAGATAAAATGGCCAAAAGGTATTCCAATTGTAAATGAAATTCGAGTTTCACACTTTGCATTTTAAATAGTTCTGCACAAGACAGAATCTAGAGTGCAATGTTGAAAAGGGAAAAGTCGAAAAAATTGAGTTTTTCTTTTTCTATTTGCAATTAAAAGCAAACGAAATCGTTCATGACTAAATGTTTGCTTCATCTGTTTACCTTACCAATTAGTGTTTCTGTTATCACAACATGCTTCGAGCGAAGGTAAAAAAAGAGCAAAAGGTAAGTCCGAATGAAGAGGAAAATAATGTTGAGAATGAAAAAGTAAAAGTAAATGTTAACAAGGAAGAAGTTTAAGAATAGCAAAAAGAGTAAAAAAGAAACATTTCAGGATAAGTCAAGATTCTCTGATTCTTTTTACTACATTAAGCCTTGTTGGGAACTAAGGTT